TTTGGTACTGGGGATTGAACTCAGGTCCTTGTGCTTGCGATGCAGGTGATGAAACCACTGAGCTAAATCCCTGGCCCAAAGTATTATAATTTTTATCCTCATCTACAAATGAAGTCTTACGATATTTCTAAGTAACTTTTCCAAAGTTAAACAAGATCTGACCAAGTACTGTTACAGCCCAATAATAAATGATCATATACTGTTGAGAAATTCTAGTATCTTTAATGTATTATGATTCACAGCAGATTTCAGGGGCATTCCATGTGGAAAATAGGCTTTAAGATTTTATTTGTAAATATACTGAATTTTTGTAGCTATCCAAAATATTTTTTTTTATTTTTGAGGCAGGGTCTCATTAGTAGCCCAGGCTGGCCTCAAACTTGTAATCCTTCTGAATGCTGGGATTATAGGCATGTGCAAAACAATACTTTTTGAGCCAACATGGGATAGTAAAAATATCTGTAATTGTATATTCTTAAAGCTAGGTGCAGTCCACACCTATAGACCCAGCTACCCAGGAGGCTAAGGCAGATTGTTGCAGCCTAGCAGTTCAAGCCCATCCTGGGCAACATAGCAAGAGCCCAATTTGAAAAAAAGAAAACCACTTTACCGTTAGTCTCAGCTCTGTATACATAGGCAAATTATTTAGTATTTCTTGAGTCTCAGTACTCATAATTAGCAGGGTTTTTAAGAAATCCACCATCATATATTTAAAGCTTTATTGGTACGTATCTAGTCTTCAGTAAATTGTAACACTACGCCAAGATCTGTCCAGATAGTCTTCTCACCCCCCAGGGACCAAGCGTTGCACCTCTGTGGATGGTTCTAATGGGTGACTCCCTCATTGTGTAGGAGACTGTCCCATCAGCCAGGAGATTCTCACCTATAGGAATCCTCCCTCCCTTTTTTTTTAGTCTTTTTAGTCATCTTCAATGTTTATGCTCTCAATAACCTTATTAAGCATGACATGACTAGATAGATGTGCTCATGGCAGATTTTCATGTTTACTTTGTAAAAACCCACAAATTCTACTGAACATTTCTTACCAGTGTGGTAGTGAGGCCTGGGGGTGTAGCTCGACTGAGAGTGCAAACCTATAGGTCAATCAACCTACTAGTGAGTGTAGCAGAATTGGCTATCAGGACATTGGCCCAGTAGAGGAAGTCCTCAGCAGAGGTGGGTCTTCGAAGGATGTAATTTCTTTTTTCATTCACTTAACTGGCCCAGATGACCATGAACTGCCTCAGCCTGGAGTTCTGGGACTACAGAATATTTAATCACACTGGAAGAAAGGTACATCTTTTTTTCCATCTTTTTGTTTCCTGGGTGCTGTGAGGTAAGCAGCATTTCCTGCCTTGCTGCAGGCCTAAAAGCAATGGAGTCACTGACCATAGACTTGAAACTGGCCACAATAAGCCTTTCTTCTATAAGGTGTGTGTCAAGTTTTTGTTCCAGAGATGAAAAGTGACTAACACACCAGACAAAGTACTCTTGAGAGAATTACAAATGTTCACTTGTGGTGCCCAGAGGGGAGTCCAAGGGTCTGGATCAATCCTGCCATGTATCACCTCTTTCTATTGTGTATCCTCTTACCAGCCAACCCTAGAAATCTGCACATATTCCCTGAGGAGTGCTGTGTAAGATACAAAACTGAAGTGTGCTCCCTCCAGGTCTGCACAATGAAGCAGACAGACAGGTAGAAAATTTGCAATTAAGCCAAACATTTTGAGCAAGAATTCATATAATTTGACACAGCAGCTGGGAATTATAAACAAAGTTGATTTTTGTGGTTGCTGTTTTGATAGTGGGGATTGAACCTAGGACTTCATGCATGCTAACCACTGAGCTTCACTCCAGCCTTAAAGTACTTTAAACAAAGTACCCAACTTCATGATGCATTATTGAAGATAAACATTGCTGAAAAAGCTACAGTGGACCTTTGACCTACAAGCTCAATTCAGTCACGAGAGCTGGTTGTAACTCACGTTGGTTAATGAAGGCTCAGGCTCCTCTGGACAGCCTTCAAAGTCTCTCTCCTGTAAACAGGCAGATCTCAAGTGACCTCAGAGACACTGGCCCAGAATTTCTCAATTTACCCCACAGAGGAAAGGATGTTGTAACGTTCCTTCCAGAATTGTTTAAGGGTGAAATCTGTATCCGAAACCATCTGGAAGCACAGGTGGCTGGCATTCAGATTGTAATTCAAGACTCTGTTCAAAAGTTAAAATTGAAATTCTGGTCTTAAACCCAAATTGTTTGTATGTCAGGCCAGCTTAATTTGAGGGCTCACTGTAATTAAGAGGACAGGCGTTATGTCCCATGCCTGTTATCCAAGAAATTGGAAGGCTGAGGCAGGAGGATCACTGAATTCGTGGCCAGTTTGGACTATACTATGAGGCTAGACTGAACTACATCATAAGACACTGTCACAAACAAACAACTAGCCAAAAAAAACTCAAAAGGTGATTAGGTGACAACTTTTTGTTTTGGTTTGGTTTTATTTTTTTTTGAGACAGGGTCTCACTTTATAGTTCAGACTGCTCTGGAACTCACTATGTAGCCCAGGCTGGTCTTGAACTCGCAGTAATTCTGCCTCAGCCTCCCAAGTGCTGGAATTTGGTTTGGTTTTTAGTACTGGGAGCAGAACCCAGGGTCTCACACATACTAAGAAAATGCTCTACTGCTGATCTATACCCCAGCCCTAAGCAAATATATAACTTTATGATGTGCCCCTAAACTCAAAAGGCTGTAGCCAGGCGTGGTGGCGCACACCTGTAATTCCAGCACTCGGAAGGCTGAGACAGGAGGATAGGATCACTGTGAGTTCGAGACCAGCCTGAGCTACATAGTGAGTTCCAGGTGAGTCTCAACTGCATAGTGAGACTCTGTCTCAAAAAAAAAAAAAAAGAAAAACAAAACAAAAAAAAGCTGTTAAAGTGATAAGTTCTGCAGTTTTTTTTCTGCTTTTTGTTTTTTGTTTTTGGTGCTGATTAAAGCGAGGGTTTCACACATGCTAAGCACATGCTCTACCACTGAGCTACATCCCCAGCCCTATATAGCATGGGGTTTTTTTTTTTTTTTGGTTTTTGTGAGACAGGGTCTCACTGTGTATTTAAGGCTGGCATGGAATTCACTCTGTAGCTCATGCTGACCTCAAACTCTCCAGGATCCTACTGCCTAACCTTCGCAAGTGCTGGGATTACAGGTATGCACTATCATGCCTGGCCTTATACAATTTTTAAATATAAAGATACTGACTATTCTAAATGACTTATCCTTTGTTATGTAAGGAAAATGACAACCTATAGTTGGGCTGAGTCTTTATTGAAAGCAGAAAGGAACAAAGATTACAAAACCAAAGGATTTTGAACATTGATTTAAAAGAAAAAAAAAAAAACTTGCCAGGTGTGGTAGTGTATACGTGTAATACTAGCTACTTGAGTGGTTGAAGTAGGAGGATCTCAAATTAAACACCAGCATAGGCAACTTAGTAAGACTTTTGAAATAAAAAATAAAAGCGCTCAAAATGTAGCTCAGTGGTGGAGCACTTGCCTAGCACATGAATGGATTAATTTCCCAGTACTGCAAAGATTTAAATAATAAAAAATAGAATCTACTTTTGGATTATCTCCTACATTAGCTAAAATTTTTATGTCTTTCTAGTTTTGACAAATGAAAATTATGAGAGCTGGCAATTTCTCTTCCATTACTGGAATAATTTAGTTGGCTCACCACTGTAGATGGTGTTAGTACTTACAGAGAACATTAACAAGCCCTGGAGCACAGCTCAGTGGTCAAGCACTTGCTGAGCACACACAAGGTCCTGGATGCTATCCCTAGCACCACACACATACACAAAAAGATAATAATGAGGATACAAATCATATCATTTGAGAGAGCTCCCTCATTTCAAGGGTGTGCATGTGTATCATCTATCATACAAAGAAAACTCTCAACCAAATTACCATGACATTATAGAGACAGATTCAAGAGAAAACAGAAAGATGTATTATCCATTAAATTCCTCCATACTGACTCTCAGAAGTAACAACCTGCAGAAATATCTATTAGTGGGAAAGAATTATGTACAGCAGTCAGAAGTGGCCTTGGAGTAAAAGAGAACTAAGCTTATGTTTGTGGCTTTTGGAAAGCTCCTTAATATCCTTTCTTCATCAGTAAATGAGATAATACTATCTCATTAGGCTGCAGCAAAAATAAAAGAAGATGCGGGTAAAACCAGAAAAAGCATGCAGAAAAAGCTGAATAATTATTAGGTATTATTATGACAAGTAAAGTTTTTCAAGATATCTGATTATAGATTTATATATTTTTTTTCTATTTACCAAATAACCTAATATTTAAATCTTTGTCAGCACTAGAAAAATGGACTTAATGGAAGGTCTTTTCATTTCATCCATCTTATAAATATAAATGATCTATGAAAATAAAAACACATTTTAAAGATTCTCCTTGTATTTGTCACAAAGATTACTAATGCTTTTACATGAAAGAGCAAATGTATAGTTAACACACATAACATATAAACCTGAAATCGACAATCTCTTTGACATCTATAATACCACTTTCAAATAAGCATGGTATAACCTTAAATATTATTATCTTCAGATTTTTTTGAACTTTAAACCTCTAAGAAATTTCTTAAATGTACATGTACATTTGCTATTTGCAGCACAATAAGGTTGGTAGCTGTCTCAGCATATGGATGGCTCCTCTATTGCCTGGGCACCCTCTGTGACAGCTTTGACACACTTAGCCATTGTCTGTGAAGCTCTACTGATGGAATCTGAAAGATAAAGAAAATGTGCATTTTGTTAAATATAACTTATTAAAAAGGACAGTAAAACTTCTTTTTTCTTTTTGGGAGACAGGGTCTCATTACATGGCCCAGGCCGGCCTTGAACTTCCAATTCTCTTGCCTTAACTTCCCAAGTGCTGGGATTATAGGTGTGTGCCACCACGGCCAGTGACATAGTAGGGCTTCAATACTGCACACAGTCAGGAACAATAAGCGGAAGACTGGAAAGCTCTACATGGTCATATGTAACTGTAGGTAACAAATTCTAAGCCTAAGCCCTTTACGGGCTAAATACTTCTAATAACTACACCTAGGAATAATACAATTAATAGATAATGCAACAGTATGCAACCATTAAAAAAATTATGTCTTCAAATGCTAGGAAAAAAAAAATGTGCATAATATCACCTCCCTCCCTCATTCCTTCCCCTCTTTCTATTAAACAGGATCTCACCACATGGCCCAGGCTGGCCTCAAACTCAAAATCCTCCTCCCATAGCCTCCCAAATGCTGGGATTATAACCATGTACCTAACACCATGCCAGGCTCCTAATGCCATTACCGAAACAAAAAAAGGTTACAGAATAGTTAAAGTCCACTGAATTTCAAACGAGTAAATTTTATGGTATGTATATTATATTTTAATAAAACTATTCCACCATAGTAAGAAAATAATCTTATTTTCCATTTAAATATGTAACTAAAAAAATATGTATATATCTCTGGAGGATGACTGACCAAAATGTTAAAAGTAATTGTAGTTACTTTGTGAGAGCTGCACATAGTGATTTTTTTTTTTTTTTTTTTTTTTTACCTTGTAAAAGATTTTGAAACTAATGCTCTGCTTATTCTAGAATCTCAAGAGCACTCTGTGTAGTCCAGGACTGAAATTATTCTGTTCACCGTTCAGAAATTACCGTGCAATTTTTTTTTTTTTTTTTTTTTTTTAAGTACCATGGATCGAACTCAGGTCCTTGGCATTTGCAAGGCAGGCGGCGGCACGACTGAGCTAAATCCCTGCCTCTGTGACTTTTGATTTAGGTATTTATTCAACAATGAATGTACTTTTATAACCTCACTAAAAAAACCTACTGAATAAACTCAGGTACAAACTGCATACAGTAATTCTAAAATAGACACCTGGGGCTGAGAATATAGCTCAGTGGAAAAGCATTTGCCTAGCATATACAAGGACCTGGGTTTGATTAACAGCATGACAAATAAAATAAAATACACTCCTATGTATTTTTAGATAGAAAATTATTGAAAATTAAGCAGGGTGAAATGGCTCATACCTATAATTTCAGCTACCCAAGAGGCTTATGCAGAAACAGTACAAGATTGAGGTGAGCCTGGGCAACTTAGTGAAATCCTGTCTCAAAGCAAAACCATATATCAACTGCCTCATAAGACCTGGATGTTTTATCAACTGCTGTCAGACATGCAGAAAACATGTTTCATTTGGTCTGCATTCCTTAGAAACACTGCTAACAATTTACATTAGAAACAGTGTTTATCATATTTCACATTTAAATGTTTTGATGTTTCCACCTACCATTCTCAGAAGAACCTTTGCAGCAATTTATCACTTTGAAAAATCATCCCTAAACTGCACTACAGTAATTTTCTTTCTTTCTTTTTTGGTTTTTTGAGATAGGGTTTCACTATGTAGTTGAGACTGACCAGGAACTCATTGTGTAGCCCAGGCTGGTGTTGAACTCACAGAGATCCTCCTGCCTCAGCCTCCCGAGTGCTAGGATTACAGGCATGCACCACCATGCCTGGCTAAAGTGCTGGGAATTTTTTTTTGGCGGGGGTACTTGGGATCGAACTCTGGTCCTTACGCTTGTGAAGCAGGCAGCGGAACTACTGAGCTAAATCCCTGGCCATGATTTTCTTTATAATAGCAAAGTTTCATATTTAAAAGCTATTCACTTTGGATTTTGAAACTTTGATTTTTAGAAATGATAAAAAATACAATTAGATTAGTTCAATGTTTGGAAAACCTTCAAGAATTAAAAATGGGATCGGTGGCCTACCTTGCAAGCGCAATGACCCGAGTTCAATCCCCGGTACCAAAAAATAAAATAAAAAAATAAAAATAAAAATGGGAAACAGCCCCAATCACAAATAATTATAATTACCCTGGTAGGTATATGTTTGTGTCCTCTTTTCACACTGACAGAGCTTTGCTGATGGGTACGTACCTGTCATATAGAAGTCTTTTATAGTTAGCTGAGGTGGAACAAGTGGGTCAGCAAGAAGCTGCTGGTTTATTAACTGCAAAAAAAGTAAGAAACCAGTAACAACATTAAAACTAATATGATTACTCTATTAACTACACTGCACATGGGCAAGCTCTTACCTTGGAAAGCTCACTTGCTTGCTGAAAGTAATTCGCTCCTTCAACATCATCATATCGAACAAGATTCGGGGAAACTTCTTCCAATCTGTTCCTCACTTGATCCAGAGTATCATATGGAAGAGTAATACCTGCAATCTATGATAGATCAGATGCCAAAAAAGGGCATAAAACTTTACTGTAATTTAAAATATCAGAAGCCAGGTATGATGTCGCAACGCTGTAATCCCAGCACTCTGGGAGGTTGAGGCAGTAGGATCTCAAATTCAAGCCCAATCTAGGCAATTTAGCAAGACCCTGGCTCAAAAAACAAAAAAAAGGGCAGGAGTTATAGCTCCACATAAAGGCTCTGAACACACACACACACACACACATACATGCACGCACGCACGCACTCAGAGCTGGGTAAGATTTATTCTTCGGTTCAAGGCACTGGGATCAATCTCACGCACCCACCCTAGAAGACCCAATATAAGATAAATTATTGGGCTGGGGATTTAGCTCAGTGGTTCCATCATCTGCCTCACAAGCACAAGGAGCCAAATTCAATTCCTGGTAACAAAAAAATTCAATTAAATTAAAATTTTAAACAATGATCAAAGAAACAATGCTATGCTAAATCTGAATACTTCTGTTAACTTTATTTATTTATTTATTTTTTGGTACCAGGGATTAAACTTGAGTCCTTGTGCTTGGGAAATAGGCAGCTGAACCACTGAGCTAAATCCCTGGCCCTGCTAACTTGATATTAATCATCTATAAAATTTGCAGAAAACTGAAGGGGGAAGAAAATGCTCAAATGGGAAGGGGAACAAAGGAGGAGGGAGGAAGGGAGGGAGGAATGAAGGAGGGAAGGAGAAAAAGGAAATGGAAAAAATGGAGGGGGGAATGGCAAAAATAGAAAACAATGTATTGTTATTTTAAATATCATGATACTTATTTTATTATCATTATGTTTTCCTTTATGAAATAGGGTCTTGCTGTGTTGTTCAGGCTGACCTAATGAACTCATAATATAGCTCAGGCTGGCCTCAATCTCATGGCACTCCTCCTGCCTCAGCCTCCTGTGTGCTGAGATTACAGTGTATGCCAACACACTTAGCGTGGTGCTTATTTTATAGCAAAAAGTGCTAAAAGAGGTGAGACGTATTTTTTAGACAAAATATAAAAATAAAAATACCAATTTCAAATCCTCATTTTCTAGGCAGGTACAATGGCACACCTCTGTAATCCTATCTATTTAAGAGGCTAAGTCAGGATCATAAGTTCAAAGTCAACCTGGGGAACTCAGTGAGACCTTGTCTCAAAATAAAATATGGGCCAGGGATTTAGCTCAGTGGTTCCAGTGCCTGCCTCATAAGCTCAAGGTGCCAAGTTCTATCCCCAGTACCAAAACAAAAAAAATGAAATCAACTGGGAATATAGCTCAGTAGAGCACTTGCCTAGCCCATGTGAGGCAGTGGGTTCAATCCCCAGGAATAAACACACATACATACATGCACAAACATGCATGTATGCACATACACATACAAACAACAAAAACCTTTCCATTTTCCAAACACATTTTTCCTACAGACATTATTCACATCTGCACTGTTCTTCGGACTGACATTTTCCTTGATTTTGCAAATCATTCTAAAAACTAACATGCTCAATATCCCTATAACAGCATCACAAAGAAATGCCTCAAAAAGAATACCTCAGAGAGGGCTCGTATAATTTTCCAGTCTTCTCTTGCCAAGCCAGGAGGTGTCACTGCGACTTTGGTTTGCTGAGCTCTGCCCTCTGTATTGACATAAGTACCTGACTTCTCTGTGTAAGCAGCTCCTGGGAGAATAACATCAGCTATGGGAGCTCCCACATCACCATGATGCCCTGTGGAAGAAGGAAAATGGCCGCCACATTTTAGGAAAACAGATTCACTCGTATAAATGACAACAGTTTAGATTCCTTTTAAATTCCTGGTTTTTATTTTTATTTTTTTGCAGTTCTGAAGATATTGAGCATGCTAAGCAATTGATTTACCACTGAGTTATACTTTTGGCCCTTAGTTCTCATGTAAAAAGTTAAAAAAGTGTTTCTAAATTAAAACAATAAAGTAATAAATAAATAAAAACTAAACCCATCTCATTCTCACTTCAGTTTCCTCTACCCCCAAAATTACTATTAAAATATTTGGTATGCATCTTCCTGGATTATTGTATACAAAAACTAAACTATAGGGCCGGGGATTTGGCTCAGTGGTTCCAACACCTGCCTCGCACATGCAAGGACCCAAGTTCAATCCCCGTACCAAAAATTAAAAAAAAAAACAAAACCTACAAGTATCACACACGGGTATGATGTACAACCAAGTATATTCAGGGTTACACAGTGGACACGCTCAGATATACTAGTAAAATTTGGCAAAGCAGACTGAAATGGTAGAAGCATGCAAATTATAGAGCAAGAATATGACAATAATAGTATTGAAAAAGGCATGAATAGAAAATTACAGATAATAGTATTCTGAGACTATTACCCACCCATGAACAAAAACTGGTAGGGCTGGGGATTTAGCTCAGTGGCATCGTGCCTGCCTTGCAAATGCAAGGTCCTGAGTTTGATCCCCGGCACTGAAAGAAAAATAAATGGTAGAAGAAAAAAGTTATTCAAAAGACAAAAGGTGTACACTGGAAAGTTACCAGAAATGCAGATTCTCTGGTATTAGGAGGACCAACTAGGGGACCAGAGAGTTAGCTCAGTGGTGCCACTACCTGCCTCACAAATGCAAGATCCCAAGGTCGATCCCCAGTACCAAGGTCCTGAGTTCAATTTCTGGTACTGGGAAAATAAAATACAAAAATAAAAAAATAAAGATCAACTGATCCATAAAGTCCTGCATGGGACTCCTCAAGCAACCCTTGACATGACTGTAATGTACACTAAAGTTTGAGAAGCTGACTCTAATTCTTAGCTTCTCTTCACCTCTCTACCTGTGTTTCTCATCCTTTAAATACATTTGTAAAGGGTCAGGGATTTAGCTCAGTGGTTCTGGCACCTGCTTTGCAAGTACAAGTACCCAAGTTCGATCCCTGGTACCAAAAAAAGAAATAAAAATAAAAATAAATACATTTGTAAAGAAATTAATCGTATGAGATGGTTAATTCTGGTGGTCAATTTGACTGAATTAAGGGATGCCTGGATAACTGGCAAAGCACACTTCTGGGTGTGTCTATCAGGGTTTCCAAAGAAGACTGGCCTGTGGGATAGCAAAGTGAGTAAGACCCACCTTGAATGTGACAGTACCATCCAAAAGGCTGGGGGCCAGGATGGAATGGAAAAATCCAAGAAAGAGGAAGCTAACTTGAGCTTGCCGGATACTTCTTGAGAAAGTATGTTTTTCTGGTATTGTCTCTTGTGGACAATCAGACGCCAGGTTCTTCAGCAGTTAAATGGGGACTTGGACAAGTAGCTCTGCAGGGGATTTGGGACTTTGGCCTCTGGCTGAGACCTCTTTTCTTGGACTGAGCAGTTAATAATTTCCCTGGATGGGGCCAGGGATTTAGCTCAGTGGTTCTACCGCCTGCCTTGAAAGCACAAGGACCCGAGTTCGATCCTCAGTACCCCCCAAAAAAAAATCTCATAAAAAAAAAAAGTTTCCCTGGATCTCCAGCCTGCATACACCCTTTGTGAGGCTACTCAGCCTCTGACTGTGCAAGCTAGTCCATTCAATTACCTATTACAAAATGGACCAATAAACTCAATGAGGAAAAGAAAAATTACCTATTACACTTGTAAATATTCTAATGGCTCTGTTCCTCTGGAGAACTCTGATACAGTCCTACATGATTTCACAGAGTCTGGATTCTATAGGCTGGATCTTTTTTTGGCATCGGGGATTGAACTAGGGTCCTTGCGCTTGCGAGGCAGGCAGTAGAACCACTGAGCTAAGTCCCAGCCCTTACTCTCCTTACTCTGGATCTTGAAGACTGCTGCTCTATAATAATTTAACAAAAAAATTTCTTTTGGTTTTTTGAGACAGGATCTCACTATGTAGTTGAGACTGACCTGGAACTCACTATGTATCTCAAGCTGGTCTCGAACTCCCAGCAATCCTCCTGCCTCAGCCTCCCGAATGCTGGGATTACAGGCGTGCACCAGTATGCCCAGCTAAAAATTATTATTATTCTTTTTTTTTTTTTAGTACCAGGGATTGATCTCCGGACTTTGTGCTTGCGAGGCAGGCACTGGCACCACTGAGCTAAATCCCAAGCCCAACAAAAATTATTTCTTTTTTCTTTTTTAGTTTTTTGAGACAGGGTCTCACTATGTAGTTGAGACTGACCTGGAACTCATTATGTAGCTCAGGCTGGTCTCGAACTCACAGTGATCCTCCTGCCTCAGCAAAAATTATTTCTTAAAGAAAATAGAGTCTAAGTTAAAAAAAAAAAAAAAAAGTATATAGCATATACAGTATGATTTTGTGCACAGGAAAATGTATGGTGTATGCATACCAAAACCATCATCAACAACTAACTCTGGAAAGAACTAGGAATATGATTTTAGTTTATATATTTTGGTTTAATTGTATAAAAAATACAAAATAATATATAATGTTCTTTGTGGCAATAAGTCTATTATATAACATAAAAACGGAAGCTTCTAACACATTGCTTTTAAATATCCAGGGATACACTACATTCCGTTTATTTCAGGTAAACTTGACTACATCTACAACGAGAGTTTAATTAAGAGAATGAATCAGGGCCGGGGATTTAACTCAGTGGTGCCGCCGCCTGCCTTGCAATCACAAGAACTGGAGTTTGATCTCTGGTACCAAAAAAAAAGAGAGAGAAAATGAATCAAATACAAAGCTATAGTGCTACATTAAATATAATTTATGGGAATATAGCTCAGCAGGGTACCATCTGCCTTGCAAGCCTGAGTTCTTGAGTTTGATTCTCAGTACCAAAAAAAAAAAAAAAAAACTAAACTAAATATAATCCATTAAATGTCTTAGACCACAGGTGCCTGCTTAACTTTTTACAGTTTTTATAAAGGTGCTTGCCTTGATTATATATTTATAATGCTAAATATTTTTTGAAAAGTTGATTTTTTTTTTGAGACAGGGTCTTGCTCTGTAGTTCAGGCTATGCTTGAGCTCACTATGTAGCCCAGGCTCACCTCAAACTCTGGCAATCCTGCCTCAGCCTCCTGAGTGCTGAGATTACAGACGTCTGTCACCATGCCCAGCTAAAAAGTTGATTTTTAATTCTAATTGCAATCTACTATATGAGTAAGCATACTTTGACAGTTCCCATTACTGGGCATTTTAGATTGCTTCTAATTCTTAGTAAATAAAATAACACCTGGTAGCTGGGACTGGTGGAACATGGCTGTAATACCAGTCAGCACTCTGGGAAGCTTGGGCAAGAGGATTACAAATTCAAGCCTAGCGTAGGCAAATTAGCAATTTATTAAGACTCTATCTCAAAATGAAAAATAGAAAAGGACTGGAGATGTACCTCAGGGCAAAGGCCCTGGGTTCAATCCCTAATACTGAAGGAAAAAAAAAAAAAAAAGAAAATTAGACAATTATTCTTTCTTTTTGGTACTGGAGATCAAATTCCGGACCTTGAGCTTGCAAGGCAGGCAGCAGCACCACTGAGCTAAATCCCCGGCCCCAGACAATTATTCTTTGTTACTTTTCTGGTTTTTTGGTACCAGGGATCAAACTCAGGACCTTGTGCTTGAGAGGTAGGCAGTGGAACCACTGAGCTAAATCCCCAGCCCTATCAGACAATTATTCTTTTTTTTTTTGTTTTTTTGTTTTTTTTTCTGGTACCAGGGATTGAACTCAGGTACTTGCACTTGCAAGGCAGGCCACCAAACCGCTGAGCTAAATCCCCAGCCCTCAGACAATTATTCTTAACAGAAACATCAACTATACTATGATATGGCTTTTATGAATTGGTTTAAAAAAAATAGGGTAGGGGAGAGAAAAAAATTCTCAAATGGAAAATATTTAGGCCACGAAATGCATTGCCAGATAGTTTTTACTCAACACAATGTCCTGGTATCACAGGTGCTACTTACCTTGATAAATAATGAAACAATCCTTTGGCAAATCCTGTCGTGTGACACAACCACCATCTGCTCCTAGGAGGAACAGAACTTTGGGGGGGTTCTTCCGAACTGCTTCTACTCCAGGCTTATAGCCAAGGTCCAAAGCAGCTACCTGGCTTGCAACCCTAGGAAATAATCATGGGATTCTGGCATATTTTCAGTGTTTTCAGTATAAACAATGACTGATACATAACTTCTTTAATATCCAACAGTTAGACCTTTTTTTACCCACTGAAATATAAGATGCTTAGGACACTGGGTCTCTTCATGAGACACTCCGCTACTGAGCTGCCTTCCCAGGCCCTCACTACATTATTTACAAGTAGTTAAAAATTGCTGTCAGTATCCATCCTGTACACATACAAGAAGGAAATAAATAAAAAATTTGTAGTATACTTATGATATTAAATAACTATTAAAGTATAAAGGTTTTGTTTTTTTTTTCTTTTAGAGACATAGTATCACTAAGTAGTTCAGGCTGGCCTTGATGTCACAATCCTTCTTTCAGCCTTCCCAGTGCTGAGATTACAAGTATGTGCAACCATGCTTCGCTATTAAGAATTTCTTATCATAGGAGAAAATTCGTATATGCAGTGAGAACCAATGAAAATCAGGATTTAAAATTATATTCAGTATGGTTCCAACTATGTAACTAAAAAACATTTTCTGAGGAAAAAGAAAAAAATAGACCATAAGGCACTGAAAAATAATAGTAACTAACTATAAATGGTGGAATAAGGATCATTTCCATTTCTGAAAATTTCTCTTTCTAACTTCTCTAAACTTGCATTACTGGTAAGAGGATAAAAACCTTCAGCAGAATTCTCAAATTATGTTTTTTTTCAAAGAGGGAAAGGTTTCAGCCAGGCATGTTGCACAAGCCCATGACCCCACTCTTGGGAGGCTAAGACAGGAGGATTGCTGTGAGTTCAAAGTCAGCCTGAGCTACATAGTGAGTTCAAGGCCAGCCTGAACTACACAGCAAGACCCTGTCTCAAAAATAAAAAAATACAAAATGTAAAAACTAAATAAACAAAAGTGGAAAGGTTTATTTCAGCTCAGTTTATAGAAGTTTCAGTTCACAGCTGACTAGCTTCAAGTTAATTTTTTTTTAAATCATTTAACCAAAGCAAGAGCCCTTGTTGCTTTCTTTTGTCTTGTACTGAAGATTGAACCCAGAAAGTGCTGGGTTAAATCTCCGGCACCTCTCCCCCCCACCCTTTTTTGTTTCTTGGTATTGGGGATCAAATTCGGGACCTTGAGCTTGCAAGGCAGGCGGCAGAACCACTGAGCTAAATCCCCCAACCCCTTCTTAAAAGACAGAGTTTCACTAAATTGCTCAGCTTGGCTTGAACTTGTGATTCTTCAGCCTCCACCACTCTAATACTTGAGATTACATGCCATCACGCTCACCTTGTTTCAATTTTTGAAGCAAGATACAACAAATATTATGGTTTTTATGAATTAGTTTTTTTCTCAACACTATTTTGCCGGCCCTATTTCACATATTTTAAACACTATTTATTATCTTGGGTTCCTCTTACACAGAGAATTTGGTTTGTACTTCACATCTGCAATGAGGACAATGTTTTAAATCTCATTTGAATATATAATTGTGACAGTGTATTAGGAACACATATACAAAAAAACTACTTGAATTTTAGTCCACAAACCTGTGCAGGATATTCATAACTTTCCAATCACCAGTCACACCACTAGTCACCCGGATCCTCTGTGCGATGGTAGAAACAGCAGCAAGAATTGCTGCTCCATCAATTCTTTGGAGAGCAGAACTGCCTAAAACCACCATTGGTTTTTTAGCGGTCTTTAAAACCTATTTTAAAAAACAGGGAGAAAAAACTTTAATTTAAAAACATTACAAGGATTCTAAATGCCTACCCATATTTGCATCTACATTCCACTGTCTTAAATTTGAGCTCTAACATGAAGTGTGTCTGATTTGCATGCTAATACATGGACACCAACACAACCAAGTGGATCTAAAGCATCTTGATTATGCTACTGTGAAATGGTTTAATGAGCATCAAATACAACAATATAAAAGTAAAACTTGGGCATAGTCATACACACCTGTAATCCCTGCGCTCAGGAGGCTGAAACAGGAAGATCACTTTGAGTTTGTGAGTTTGAGGCCAGATTGGGCTACATAGTGAGTTCAAGGCCACATTCAACTACATAGTGAGTCCTTGTCTCAAAAAAGCCCAGCAATGCAATAGTTTCTATCTAGATGTCACCTGAAAGCTTCATGTGGTCATGGGTAGGAGTTTCAAAGGTGGTTGGATTAGGTTGTGCGGTGTTGGGATTAAGGGTGCCCCCACGCTGGGTCTGGGTGGTACTATCCAGAAGACAGGTAGCCTAGATGGAATATAAAGGGACAGAAAGAAGCTGCTTTGCTACTTCAGTGCCTTGCTGCCTTCTGTCTACACTGCCCTGGACTGTTTTTCCTCTGCAATGCTCCTTTACCATGACACCCTGCCTTGGAGCCAGCCAACTATGTACTCTACAGACTATGAGCCAACCTCTACAGACTATGAGCCAAAATAAACTTTTCCTCTTCTTTCCTTCTTTAGCTTTGGCTGTTCGGTATTCTGTGTCAGCAGTGACAAAAGAAATGGAGACAAGCATGTACACTATGATCTCAGTTTTTTGGGTTTTTTTCTTGCGTAGCCATATATCCTTGCTCTTTCTACAGGTGGTTATGATGGTCATTGGGATCTGTTTTGGGTGGTAGGATTGTAGGTCATGTGCTTTTTGCCTCAAACATGTTAGGCAAGTGCTCTACCACTGAGCTATAGCCTCAGCCCCATGCTGCACCATATTCCATGTTTCCTGCATTACTAAAATGTTTAACAGCCAGGCATGGTGGCGCACGCCTGTAATCCTAGCACTCTGGGAGGCTGAGGCAGCAATATTGCTGCAAGTTTGAGGCCAGCCTGGGTTACACAGTCGGATCTATGACTCAGGCAAACCATTTAGTGTCTCCAAACTTCATTTCCTGACCCCAGTAGCCAGCTGCCAGTCACTTCAGCTCACCCCTTCCTCCTGGATGGCTCAACGACAGTAAAAAAAAAAAAAAAAAAAAAAAAAAAAAAAAAAATCTAAATAAATAAATAAAAATAAGAGCCAGGTATTTAGCTCAGTGGTGCTGCATATGCCTTGCAAATGCAAGGTCCTGAGTTTGATTCCCAGTACCAAGAAAAAAATTAAAAATAAATAAAAATTTTAATAATAATCACACATTGTTATACAAAGACAATATATTTTAACAATAGTTATTCAAGATCAACAACAGTAGATACACTAATTTGAGAGTACCTGGCTGAACGGATGGCTTCCCAAAGCAATGTCTTGCAGAACTTTGGGGGACTCGCCCAGGTGGTCGTATCTGTACGTCAGGTCCACTGGACTGCCTATCAAGGCCACTTGTAAGTCATTATGAAGCCAACTGAAATAAAAACACTTTTTAGAGCCAACTAAATTAAGTACAACCTTGGCCTTCTCAATGCAAAGTACTACCTTTATTTATAATTACAAAATGCTGAAAGAACATTTAATCTTAACAAATAGAATTTACTGTATACTTTTGAAAACAGTGTTGCAAAAATACATGTTAAGGCAATTCAATGCATTAATTTTTTTTTGTAGGAATGTTAACTGTAATTCATGTGCAAACAAAGACTTTGATTTTAGAATACTTATCTGAACTTTCTATTTTGTAGTATTTACATGGCAGATCAATTATTTCTGAATTATTCATTAAGGACATTAAACATAGTTCATGAAAATACACTATACCATTCATATTTATTCTTTATGACATGGAACTATGAATCTACCTACTTTGAAAACAATTATAAGTACAATGGTTTCTCTGAAACAGAGCTAGGTTTTACCTGTTATTATGAAGTAACTAGCAACTCCCTCTTTCACTCTCAACAGTTCCCCAGTTTAGACAATAAATTATGTGACTGTCATTTTATAAGTTTCTAATATACAAAACAACAAGGATGGGGATGTTCTACAAAATAACTCACCTGTCCTCTTAAAACATTTTCTTAAAAAGGGACTTGCTAGGCATGGTAGTGCATGCCTGTAATCCCAGCACTTGGGAGGCTGAGGCAGAAGGCTTGTCACAAGTTCAAGGCCAGCCTTACATACATAGTGAGTTTAGGACTAGCCTGAACTACATCATAAGACCTTGTCTCAGGAAAAGAAAAAAAAACAAAAAGGGGACCTAAAGGATTATGTTTTTTTTTGGGGGGGGTACCAGGGATCAAACTCAGGTCCTTGTACTTGCAAGGCAAGCGGCAGAACCACTGAGCTAAATCCCTGGCAAGATTATGATATTAACTGCAATATGTGATTCTAGAATATATGCTGATGGACAGGAAAAATAAAATTGCTATAAATGAAATTAATGGGAAAATATGTAAAATTTGAATATAAATTGTGCATTAAGAAATAATTTTCTATCGAAACTAAATTTCTTTTCTTTTCTTTTCTTTTGAGACAGGGTATAACTATGTAGTTGAGACTGACCTGGAACTCACTATGCAGTCCAGGCCGGTCTTGAATTCACAGCAATCTTCCTGCCTCAGCCTCCTGAGTGCTGGGATTACAGGAGTGCACCACCACGCCCAGCCTCTAAATTTCATAATTAAGACAATATTCCTTGTTCTTAGGGAATTCACACTGAAATATTTAGGTACCGTGCCTGCACTTATTTCCGAATGATTCAGAATAATATGTATGATCCAGAAGATACAACACACACACACACACACACACACACACACACACACACACACACCCCAGATACGCACAGGGTTATCATACAACTAATACAACAAAATGTCAACTTCAGTTAATATGGGTTTAAAATGTTTTTAAAATGCTTATACAAAGACCATTTTAAACACCTTTACAAATTAAAAACTAACAAAATAAAGAGATCAGTTGTGGTGGCTGGAAGGATGGACCTGTTAGAAAATGTGCTTCAGTTACCTTCTGAAATCTCATTACAACTAGTACTTACAGAAATTTTCTAAAATTCTATTTTCCACAAATAAATCAGAAAAAATAAAAATTATGTATTTTAAAAACCCTGAATAAATATTACTAACCTCTTTCGGATTCTAGCATTAAAAAGTGGTGCCTCAAAACGTGGATTTGTACCAACCAGAAGGACAACATCTGCCTCTTCCACACCAGCAATTGTAGTATTAAGAAGATAATTGGAACGCAAATCTGTTCTGGAAATAGAATATATATGATGCAAGTTTACTTTAAAGTTAATACATACTAAGAATCCATTGAATAGCCTCCTTATCATCAAACCCATGGTGCTCTCCCACAAAACATTTTGATGAAGTATTTTTTTTTTGATGAAATATTTCTAAATTAAACAGTTTCATATTTCACATTGTCAATTATATCATTAGGATCTTATGTACCATTATAGTTTTTCACACCAGAGAAACTATTTGGTATTTACACATGTGTTATTTATTTCTCTTAGGAGTAGATCCTCAATATGTATCCATTTTACTATGAATGAATCTACTTTCTCATTCTTTATGGCTGAGTAGTATTCCATTTTATAGAAAAATCACATCTTCTTTATCCAGTCTCCAACTGATGGGCAAATGGACTGTTTCCAAGTTTAGCTATTACAAACTGTGCCACTATAAACACAGGTGCACATATATGACTGTGATATGATTCTTTTAATTCTTTTGGAAAGATACCCAGCAGAGGGACAGCTGGGTCAATTGGAACCTCTAGTCCCAGCTCTTTGAGGTATGTCCATATTGATTTCCATAGTGGTTGCACCAGTGTGCACTCCCACCAACAATGGAGAAGGGTTCCATTCTCCCCACAACCCCACCAGCATTTGTTATTGGTTGATTTCTTTTTCTTTTTTTTTTTTTTGGTAGCGGGGATTGAACTCCTGTCCTTGCGCTTGCAAGTCAGGCCACCGAACCGCTGAGCTAAATCCCCAGCCCATTAGGTGATTTCTTGATAGCAGCCATTCTTTGTGGGGTGAGATGGAATCTCAGTGTTTTCATCTGCATCTCTCGAATGACCAGTGATGTGGAACATTTTTTCATATGTTTACTTGATGCTTTTACTTCTTGGTCTGAAAAATGTCTGTTCATTTCAGATGTCCATTTTTTAATCAGGTCTTTATATTGGGGGGACTGATTGCTTTGAGTTCTTTTTATATTCTAGAAGGGGCTAAAGGTGTAGGGAAAGTGGGAAGGGCAGGTGAAAGGTAATAAGGGAAAAGGAAAAAATATGAGAAAATGAAAAAATGGAAATAAAGTGTTTGTAAATGAGAAGGGGAGGAGGTGGAAAGGGCAGGGGTAAGGGGAAAAAATGAGAACCAAGTCCTGTCATGTAAAGGTACAAGATCCCAATGATGAATGTAACTGTACTGTATACCTAAAATATACCAATAAACACAATGAGAGAAAAAAAATAAAGATAAACAAAATTATTAAAAAAATAAATTAAATAAATTGAATAGTTTCAATACTTAGTAATTGGATTCCATCACCCAGCACTTGGTTTGATTTCGATCACCATGTGAAAACAAAATGATGTGCACTCTGGGAATCTATATTAGTTATTCACACAAGAAATATGATTGTTTGTTTTACACATGAACTATTAACTAAAAGGAAAACTGTACACCCAGAGCATAGCTTCATGGTTCTCACCCAGCTCCCGTGGTGGGGAAGACCTCTTCAGTACACAAGGTGTCAGAGTCCACTCTATTAAGCAAATCTTTCAGAGCTACCAGAGCTTCAGCATCCACCAAGCCACCTGCAATTGCTGCCACATCTTTGCCTTGAAAACTCTGCAGCTAGAAATGGATAAAAACAACTTCACCTAGAAATCTCCTGTTAGCAAAGAGTTGTTCAGAAAACAAAATGCCAATCATTTTCTAGTGCTGTACAAAAAAAAAAAAAATCAAGAGGGCTGGGGATCTGCTGCCTGCCTTGTAAGCACAAGGACCCGAGTTCAATACCCAGTACCAAAAAAAAAAAAAAAGCAAGAAAGCTTTTCACTAATTCTTATTTAAAAGTAAGAAGTAGCCAGGTGCACTAATGCAACACTGTAAACCCATCTCCTCAGGAGAATGAGAGAGCCACAAATTCAAGGCTAGTCTGGGAAACTTGAAGAGACTATGTCTCAAAAGATAAAAAAGGCAAGGGATGGGCTTGGGATTTAGCTCAGTGGTTCTGACGCCTGCCTCACAAGCACAAGGGCCTGAGTTCGATCACTGGTACCAAAAAAAAAAAAAGGGCCAGGGATGTACCTCAGTGGTACAGTGCCTGCCTAGCATATGCACTAGTTCCCAGTATACACAATAAATAAATGTGAGAAGTAGCAGTGGTATATGTAAAGCCAAGGCTAATACCACCTTGGAAGAAAGGTGGATGCTTATTTATTTATTAGTACTGGGGATCAAACTCACGACCTTGTGCTTGCAAGGAAGGCAAGGCACCACTGAGCTAAATCCCCGGCCCTATTTATTTCTGAAACAAGGTCTCACTGTGTAGTTCAAGGTGGCCTCAAACTCAGTGATCTTCCTGCTTCAGCCTCCCGAGTACTTGAATTACAGACATGCACCACCATGTCTGTATATGCTTTATATTTAGGAACAAAAGGGCTTCAAAATGAAGCCTGAAGAAGGAAGACTCTGGAGCTACTGTTACTTTAAATGAAATCTATTTTGAAGAGTCTGCTATTTCCTCTAGGTCTGTCTGTTGCTGTTCTCTGATCGGAAAACTGTTCTTTCCACTTTTGCTCTTGACTTTGGTGCTGTAAATAAAAGCCCATGATTTATGCAAAGCTCAGCATACTCGATACTACAGACCTACATCCCAGCCCTTCCACTTCTCATTCATTCTTAGCCTGCTGTAGGAAGGCATCTTGGTACAAGGGCCTGGGTAGGCTTGCCTTTCCTATGTGCCCTCTCTCCTATCAGTCCTAGTACTACTCATAGAAGCTAGCATATAGCCTAAGTATGCCTCTTCCTTTTCTGCAACATTGTGAAAGGTAGGGATCATGACATCTCACACATCTGGCGCATGCCTCTCAATAACTTTTTGTCAAATTAAAGACTGATTATAATCTTGACAACAGCAAAGAAAAGAAACACATCCCCCTCTTCATAGGAAAGAAGTTTCTTGAGAATCACACACTACTTCTGTATTTCAATGTTTTACCATTCCAGCTACACGAGACAGTGCATCCTCCCACGAGGTGTAGGTTAAAAGCCCCTTTTCATTTCTGACCATCGGCTCGGTGAGTCTCTGACGTTTCAGCCCATCATAAGCAAATCTAGACAACAGAAATCACACCATTGTGGGATCTTGCTGAAGAGGCAACTATAACTTTCAGGTTTAACATCTACAAAAAAACGTCATTTAAATATAACATTGATTAAAGTGTCAAAGAGAATAACAAATAACTAAATACAAATTAGTTATTCTAGTTTTGGGGAGAAGAGCTTATTATTTTATGAATATTACTTGAAAATTAAAATACAAAAAATGTATTTTTTAAATATTTTCAGCTTGCTGAAAAATCTTAAAGCACACAAAACAACAGCTGAAAAGCCAAATCATTATTGGAAAAACTTAAATACCTGCAGATTTTATCAAAATTATGTTGTATAAACTCCTTTAACTTCTTTTCTATGACACAGAATAACAGATTGAAATAAATATCTTCAAATTGATTTAAAAATATCTTAATCTACTTCAATTTATCCCCACTGGAGGAAAAAAAAGATTCTTCTCAAAGGTAATACAACAGCTATCAATTAACGTAGGACTTTTTTTTTTTTTTTTTCGTACCAGGGATCAAACACAGGACCTTGTGCTTGCTAGGCAGGCAGAACCTCTGAGGTAAATCCCTGGCCGAAACCCAGGACTATTAATGTCAGTTGTCTCCCATTCTCTATACAAAAACTCAAATTTCAATAGTCTATATTCATTAGCTAATCTGCAAATATAAACTGTTTACAAAAATGATTTTAAAATTATTTTAAATGAAATGAAAAAGATAAAACAAATAGCACATACCTGGTTTTATCAGAAATCCACTCTTCATTAATGTCCTCATGCATCCGTGGCAAGATCCTCATTACCTCTCCAGTTCTTGTGCTAACCACAATGTTACATCCAACTGCATCCAGTACATCAATGGACTCTGTCTTTCTGAGAAAATAAACATGTATGTACATTTTCTGATCTTGAGAATAACAGCAGTTTCTGTTACCTGGTTCATGAAAAAAAAATATTTATCTTCAAATTGATTTAAAAATATCTTAATCTACTTCAATTTATCCCCACTGGAGGAAAAAAAAGATTCTTCTCAAAGGTAATACAACAGCTATCAATTAACGTAGGACTTTTTTTTTTTTTTTTCGTACCAGGGATCAAACACAGGACCTTGTGCTTGCTAGGCAGGCAGAACCTCTGAGGTAAATCCCTGGCCGAAACCCAGGACTATTAATGTCAGTTGTCTCCCATTCTCTATACAAAAACTCAAATTTCAATAGTCTATATTCATTAGCTAATCTGCAAATATAAACTGTTTACAAAAATGATTTTAAAATTATTTTAAATGAAATGAAAAAGATAAAACAAATAGCACATACCTGGTTTTATCAGAAATCCACTCTTCATTAATGTCCTCATGCATCCGTGGCAAGATCCTCATTACCTCTCCAGTTCTTGTGCTAACCACAATGTTACATCCAACTGCATCCAGTACATCAATGGACTCTGTCTTTCTGAGAAAATAAACATGTATGTACATTTTCTGATCTTGAGAATAACAGCAGTTTCTGTTACCTGGTTCATAAAAAAAAAAAAATTTTTTTTGGTACCGGGAATCGAACTCTGGACCTTGCACTTGTGAGGTAGGCAGTGGAACCACTGAGATAAATCCCCGGCATGAAACAATTTTCTTTTAGTTTCCTTTCTAAATTTTTAAAAATAATAGAGCTTACAGGAAATGCAATTTAAAAATACCCCAACAGTTGAACATACCACATAAATTCCTAATGCGGTAAGGAAACCTTTCAAACTGATAGCTGACACAGAAGCCAATTTAAAGGGGCTCTAACTGGCTATCTCTGGTGCAGTTTGAATATTAAGATATTCAAGAGGGGCAGGATTTATGGCTATGGACAATTAAAGAACTCAGCCAACTCACCCTTCCAAAAACAAAAGTGGAAAAAACTGACAAAAAAACACTACTTCAGCACTTTGCTGGCATACAATAATGCAAGAGGCTTTAATGCATGAAAGCTGCTTTGCTCTGCACGAGATCAGGAGAAAGGCCTTGGAGCTGCTCCTCTCCCCCTCCTACTACCTTACACTGAAGCTTGTTCCACAGCAGGGTGGATTGGGAGCTGAGAGATTTCTCTACTGCACATGCAAACTATTTACTGGGTTAGGAGTAATAGCAAACCTGCCTACAGATATGATATCCTGGAAGCCACCACTCTACTAACCTGAGGCTGTAGCTGTAGTTGGGGCAAGCATTCCTCACTGAGGTTACACAGTTACAGTTGAGCCCAAGCTATTCACATACTTCTGGACAACACTGAGGCTCAAGGAGCCCAAGAGAAAGTAAAAAGCTAGTGTTATGGTGTGGATCTGGAAAAAGGCCTGCATGTTAAAAGGCTTGCTTCCCAGTCTGTGTGTTGCTGGGAGGTGGAGAGCCCTTTAAAAGATGCCTCATGGGCAGGTCTGAGCTCACTCGGGTGCAGGAGATGACTTGCAAGGTTGCCGCAACCTTGGTCTCTTGTTCTTTTCCTGCTCTGACGATGATGAGGTGAGCAGCTTCCTCTGCCACAAACTCCTGCCATGATTTGCTGCTTAGCTATAGGACCAGAAACAATGTGCCAATGGACTGTGAGCTGAAAATTATAACACTCTGAGACCAAAAAAAACCTTCACTCCTTTTTTTTTAAACCTTCACTCTTTTTAATGTAACCATCTCAGGTATTTTATTACAATAACAGAAAAGTTGACTAACAGCTCGATAGACCTGAAAATAACCTGAGCCTTAGCTATGTTCCACTATTTATTTCTAATCCATTGGTAGAGAACCAAAGTCTTATTGCAACCGGGTGTGGTGGCACATGCCTGTAATCCCAGCACTCTGGTGGCTGAGGCAGGAGCATCACTGTGAGTTCGAGACCAGCGTGGACTACATAGTGAGTTCCACGTCAGTCTCAACTACATAGAAAGACCCTGTCTCAAAAAAAAAAAAAAAGTCTTATTGCAGCTCAAGGTGTATGAACACAATCATTATCTATCTGACTACTAAGTGATACAGACACAAGGGTAATTCCTAAGAAATCTCAGTTAAAAATGAAAACTGTAGGGCTGGGGATGTAGCTCAGTGGCAACGCACCTGCCTGACAAGTTCAAAGTCCTGAGTTCAATCCCTGGTACCGCAAAAAAATAAAATAAATAAAGATGAAAACTGTATTAAAGTATGTTCAGTAATTCCAGCATTCAAGTGGCTGAGGCAGGAGGATCACCATGAGTCAATCTGGGCTACACCATGAGTTCAATACAAGCTTAACTACATAGGAAGACCTTATCTCAAAAAAACAAAAACAAACAAAATAATTTCAAAGAATCTAAGAATTAAAGAGCCAGGCCTGACAACACACACCTGAAATTATACCACTTGGGAAGCTGAGGCAAGAGAATCCTGGAGTTAGAAGCCAGCCGGGGCTACATAGAGTTTTCAAGGTCAGCCTAAAAAAAAAAAAAAAAAAAAAAAAAAAAAAACCCAAAAATAAATAAGTAATAATAAACAAAAATTTTAAAAGGAGAATTAAAGGGGAAGTATGATACCCAAAAGTCAACAAGTAGACAGTTTCAGTAAGGATATAGATATTATTTTTAAAAAACAGGTCTGGGGAGTTAGCTCAGTGGCACCATTCTGCCTTGCAAGCACAAGGTCCTGAGTTTGATCCCCCGTACAAGAAAACAAACAAACAAAAAACAAATGAACAAAAAAGCAAGACTAACTTGCTATATCTGCCTAGTCCAGTTCTTGGTTTTATAAGAATCAGAAATACTGTAAATAAAAAATTTATATATATATTTGGAGACACGGTCTCACTATGTAGCCTACCTATGCTGACTTTGAACTCATGGCGCTCTTCCTGCCTCAGCCTCCCAAGTGCTGGGATGACAGGCATGTGCTACCACTCCTGCTTCCACAAATTTATAATTATAAAGAAATACAAACATGCTAAGTATTTAACAGGAATTGGTTAAATAAATAAAGCATGACATTTCCGTGTACTTTAAAAGTTAATATACAATAATTAGACTATGAATTTAAAATATCAAGACTACTGGTGGGAAAAACCAAGTGAAAAACATAATTTTGTGGTTAAATACTTTAAAATTAGTTTCTAAGAAAGCTACAATAAATTTGTTGAGGTTCACCCTATCCTTCAATATAACTACTTCAAATAAAAAGGGTTCTACTTAGAGTAAACAAATAAAAACTTAGCAGACTTGAGAATTAAAACTCGGGAAGAAGGCTGAGGATGTAGCTCAGTGGTGCTGTGGCTGCCTGGCAAGTGCAAGGTTCCAAGTTTGATTCCTGTTATCAAAGAAGAAAGAAGAAGAAGAAAAAAAAACTCAGGAAGAAAATGACACGGGTACTAGGGATCAAACTCACAGTAGGCAGTGGAAGACACTGCATTTTTTTTTGGTACTGGGGATCGAACTCAGGCCCTTGTGCTTGTGAGACAGGCACTGGAACCACTGAGTTAAATCCCTGGCCCTGAATATTTTTTGAATATTAGTGAAATATAATTTTTTTTAATTTTCAAAAAATATAAAGGTGAATACCTTGTCTCCCATGGCCGGGCAGTAAAGGCATATGGCTTAGAGGTTAGGGCACCTACAGGGCAGATATCAATGATGTTCCCAGATAATTCAGACATGAACATCTTTTCAATGTATGTGCCAACTTCCATATCATTTCCTCTGCCCGTTGTTCCTAAATCATCCACTCCTGCAATCTCACTTGCAAACCTGTAAGGTAAACGTGTTGTTAAATGGAGTCCAGCAAAATTATTTCATTTTGTAGTCATGAACACAAAGATAATGACTTTTAAAACACTAAAAAGGTATAATTGATGGCAATCATAGTCCCTGAATAAAAAATAATCCCCAAAAGGTATTGCGGCACATGCCTGTGATCTCAACACTCAGGGAGGCCAAGGCAGGAGGGTCAAAGGTTCAAAGCCAGCCTGGGTAATTTAACAATTCAGCAAGATACTATCTCAAAAAATAGAAAGGGCTTAGGACGTAGCTCTGTGAGAAGGTCCTGGATTCAATTCCCCAGTATTGCCAAAAAAAGAAAAAAGGGATGAACAATATGCAGTAAATATTTCTTAAAAATTGTTAATTACAGTTAAAGACACAGTGCCATTAATCCTCCTCAAAATACTCCCCCTTGCTTCAAAAACACTTATGTCATTAAGCTGGGTGTAGTGGTGCACAACTCTAATCCCAGCACTCAGGAGGCTGAGGAAGGAGGATCACAGTGAGTTCAAAGCCAGCCTGAACTACATAGCAAGACCCTGTCTCAAAAAAAAAAGGCCACTGATCTTCCCACTTTGTTTTTTTTGTTTTTTGTTTTTTGTTTTTGTACTGGTAATCAAACTCAGAACCTTATACTTGCAAGGCAGGAGACGCACCACTGAGCTAAATCTCTGGCTCAATCTTCCCAGTTTGTGAAGAAGTTCTGGAAGTCCTCTTTCATTTGTGCCTTTACAAGTATGATGAAAAACAGTGAATATTGCTGCCTAGTGCCACCCAATGACAAGGTAGCCTTGTAAAAACATGATGGTGTGTACCCATCCACCTTTCCCACCAGATCTGGCACTCTGTGACTTCTGGCTCTTCTGCAGTCAAAATGATCATAAATGGCAAATATTTTGAATTTATTTAGGACATGAAGACAGTCACAAAAGTGCAACTAAAGACACTAATGAAGAGGACTTCCACACTGCCTCAGAAATGGCAAGAATGGGCTGGGAAGCCGGAGATTTAGCTCAGTGGTTCTGCCACCTACCTTGAAAGTGCAAGGTCCCAAGTTGGATTCCTGGTACCTGAAAAAAAAAAAGATTTGGGCCGGGGATTTGGCTCAGTGTTTCCGCCGCTGCCTCACAAGCGCAAGGGCTTTGATCCCTGGTACCAAAAAAGAATGGGCTGGGCATAGTGACACACTTCTGTAAACCCAGCACTTGGGAGGCTGAGGCAGGAGTATTGCTGCAAATTAGAGGCTAGCCTGAGCTACTTAGTGAGTTTAAGGCCAGCATGAACTTCATGGGGCAAAAATATGTTCAAAGACAAAGGGAATATTTAGAGGACAATTAATAGCAATGTATCTGTTATTGTGATAAATTTAAAAAATAAACATTCAGGGCCAGGGATGATGCCACCACCTGCCTTGCAAGCACAAGGACAGGAGTTCAATCCCCAGTATCAAATAAATAAATAAAAATAAACATTCATATTTTTCAGTCATGCTTTGTGTGCATAGTTTCTGATTTTCTTTTCATTTATTTATTTATTTTTGACAGGGTCTCACTATGTAGTTGAGGCTGGTCTCGAACTCACAGTGATCCTCCTGCCTCAGCCTCCTGAGTGCTGGGATTACAGGCATGCACCACCACACCCGGCTATACAGTTTCAATAAATGTATGCATTTAATGTAATAAGATATAACATAAAGAGAAAACTGTACAAATCCTACATGTACAGCTCAGCAAATTAAAATGGAATAAATGCTTATAGATCTCATTCATTCACTCAGTCATACTGTGGCACCAAGGATTAAACCTCGGGAGTGCTGAGCTATGCCCCAGACCTTTTTAAATTTTTATTTTGAGGCACGGTCTCAAAGTTGTGGTACTTTTGCCTCAGTCTCCTGAGTACCAAGGATTACAGGGATGCACCACCTCACTGGCTTTATTATTTTAGTTTTTGCAGCACTGGGGATTGAACCTAAGGCTTTCACACATGGCTAGCAACCAATCTACCACTGATCACATCCCAAGCCATTTTAAATTTTTTTATTTTGAGATAAGGGTCTTGCCTGCCTCACGTCTGAGTAGCTAGAAGTGTGTACCTCCACACTCAGATCAGCTTTAATTTTCAATTCAACTGAAGCTGGTATTAACTAAAACTTACCCACTCTATTGGCATATGTAAAAAATGTTAAAAACGACAACCTTCTGCTCCTCCAAACAAAAATTGCCATCCTTTCCAATGTTATGCCATTAAATTTTTGTGAATATTAAGTATACAATGACATTCCAGCAAAGAAAAAAAATTACCTGATGCATCGAGTACACTGTATGCATCTAGTCATGATGGTCTTTACCAATGGGCCGATGTTCTTGTCTTCCACAGCACGTTTCCCTTCTAAAAATCGGCTTCTATCACTTCCAAACATCATGGACTGGTCCTTAAACAATTACCAAACAGTCAGTGTAATACTGCTAATGAAATTAAACTTTCAGACAACTAAAAAGATAACAAAATTATACTGGATACCTGAAGATCACATTCACCTCCCTGGTCACAAATAGGACAGTCCAATGGGTGATTTGCTAATAAAAATTCCATCACTCCTTCTCTGTATGAAAAATTACAATACACAAAATGATGTAAATAGTTGGCACTCAAAATTGCTGTTTAAATAACCTTCATAGATACATTTCTTATATAGTTGGTATTAATTTTACATTTATCAGTATTATCAGAAATGCAAATGTGGGCCAGGGATTTGGCTCAGTGGTTCCGCCACCTGCCATGCAAGCGCAAGGACCCGAGTTCAATCCCAGGTACCAAAAAAAAAAAAAAAAAAAAAAAAAAGAAATGCAAATGCAACTACCATTCTGGTAGGTTTAAACACATAATTTGAAAACTTTATAAGAATCTAGACTAGGGCTAGATATATATATAGCTCAGCACTATAGTGCTTGCCTACTGTGTGAGGCTGTGAATTTAATTCCCTGAACTAAAAAAGTGTCTAGAATAAAATATCATTAGAGAATCTAGGAAATGATGACTTTTAACAATACAGAATAATCAAAAATTGCTGAAAGGTCCTCAAAAAATATTCACATGAAGTCAAAATAAAAACAAATAGAACTGAGGTATAGCTCAGTGGTAGAGGACTCACCGATTGTGCACAAAAGCCTGGGTTTGATTCCCAGTACCACAAAAAAACAAAATTAAACAGTAAACACAATCAGTCATAAACAGTGACAGCAAAATTAATAACAGTCTCAGCTCAGTAAATCCTAGACTCTTTTGGTCAGCAGAACAAAGTACTAAACAAGGGTTTTTAACACTGATCACATTCTAGGCTTGACATCCTAAGTCCCTGACGTGACCTCCTTTACTGTGCTCTTATTTCCTCTGTACTGAAAACCAAGCACATCAACTTCCTCCGAGGCTCGCACTGAACTCCTACTGAAGGGAAGGGCTAAAAGCATGTGAACAAAGTCTACTACATTAATAACAACAAAGTACCTGGCTTTCTTAGATTTTTCTGAGTTTGTCAGGATATTCCAACCTTTCATTACCGGCATAGCACAAGCAGCTACAACCTGGAATTTCAGGATTTGTATTTATTTGTAATTATACGGAAGTCAACATACAAAAACATTAAATTCCAGAAAAGCATTAACCTATACATTTAAAATCAAGCAAGAAACAGAGCATTTTTCAAAACAGAACTGTTTTAAGTTTTCATAGTCACAATATAACCTGACATATTACATTTCTTGTAGAGAAAAACTAAGACAAAACTATGGTTTGGATATCATTTCTCTCTTAAAGGTTCATGGGCTGGAAGCATGATCCCCAATCTACCAGTAGTGAAGTGTGGGGAGAGACTTTTTTAAATTTTTCTTTCTAGTACCGGAGATTGAACCCAGGGCCTATGCACTTAGTCACGTCCCTATACCTTTATTCTTTTAAGTTGAGGTCTTGTTTAGTCACTAAATTGTTCAGGATGAGCTCAAACTTGTGAATTCCTGGCCTCAGCCTCCCAGTGTGGTAGGATTAAAGGTATGTGCCACCATACTGGACTTGAAAGATAGAAAGACTGTTAAGAGGTACAGTCCAGAGGGAGACGAGTGAATGCTTATGTTTCAGAGTGATCAGGTCTTGCAGGAGTGGATTAGTCTCCCTAATGGGTTATTAAAGAAAGCAAGACTGTCCTCTTCCAGTCTTTTGCTGCTTCTCCTGTCATGTTATGTAGCAGCCAAATGACATGAAAAGCATTCCAGATAGGGTACCCGTATCTTAGACTTTCAGTCTCCTATACTGTAAGCTAAATAAACCTCTGTATTTCATAAAGTACCCAGTCTCAGGCGGTTTTTTTTTTTTTTTGGTACTGGGGATCGAACTCAGAACTTTGCACTTGCAAGGGAAGCGGCAGAATTACTGAGCTAAATCCCTGAACCTCAGGTATTTTTTTAACAGCAACACAAAATTATCTAAAATAGACAACTTACTTCTTAAATTTAGTCTAGCAGTTAATGCAATTTTAAAATTTTGCTATGGGCCAGGGATTTAGCTCAGTGGTTCCGCTGCCTGCCTCACAAGCACAAGGACCCAAGTTCGATCCCTGGTATCAAAAAAAAAAAAAAAACACCAAAAAAAATTTTGCTATAAAACAGTATTACAGAACTATGGTTTCAGCTGGGGATACTGGTACACATCTGTAATTACAGAGTACTTACTCTGGGAGGTGGAGGCAGGAGATGCTGTTTCAAAATTTTTTAAAAAATCTTTTCTTTTTTTTGGTTTTTTTGACAGGGTCTCACTATGTATTTGAGACTGGCCTGGAACTCACTATGTATAGCCCAGGGTGGTCTCGAACTTATAGCAATCCTCCCGCCTCAGCCTCCCAAGTGCTGAGATTACAGGCATGCACACCACTAAAAAAAAAATCTTTAAGGGGCGGGAATATAGCACAGTGTAAAAGTCGTGGGTTCAGCCTCCAGTACTAGGGACAATAAAACAAAAAAAGCTATGTCTTCATGCATAGGCACTACTGAATTAAAGCTGCCTATTCCAATACGCAATTATACTCCTGAAAGTGAACCCCTTTACTGCCAGAGTAACCTCCCAGGTACTGATTCAAGGCACTCTCAAGCCTGCCTGGAACCCCAGGTTTCACCCTGGCTATGTTTTCAAACTTATAACCTTTATCTGAGGCCCAACAGGCAGATGCACAGGAAAATGAAGCGAATGGGAAGCCTGTGACAAGGTGAGGCCACAGAAACTATGACCCAGGTGTTTGAGACCCCAGCAGAGGCCTACCCAGCACTGCAGCCCCTGGTCACCTCGCCTTCCCCTCTGAGTTCAGAATGGAATTCAGGGAGTGTTAAGATGTAACCCAAGCTCCTCCTTTCTTTAGCAAAAGGGCACACAGGGGACCAGCTTCAAGTCCCTCCTTCCTTCCCAAGCCTATGGGCCCAGGCCTGTCCTACTTCCTGCCCCAGAGTCTCCAGTGCTTTTTTCTAATAAATTTGTTACTGCACAAGTACTTCTAATGCTACTTGTTGTTCCACATCCTCGTTGTGTATCTTACACACACTTGGAAATTTTAATAGCTATTTCTAATATCTAAACTTGTTGCAATTACATGGCACTTAGGTTCATAAAGCGCTTATATCAAGGTGTTTACACTTCTGTGCATTCAACTACACACAAAAATACTGAATTTATAGATGAAAGTAAAATAGGGCTATGTTCTCCTCTACAACAGTCATGATTCCAAATAAAGTTAGCTGCAAGATTTAAAGTTTTCTACCTTCTACAGCATAGTTTGGAATTTTAGATATTAAGTACCTTAGGAGCCTTCTCAATTTCAACGAGACACATCCTGCAGTTTCCAGCAACGGAGAGCCTTTCATGGTAACAAAACCGAGGGATCTGCATGCCAACCTTCTCACAAGCCTAGAAGACAAAACAAAACATAATTTGTGCCAGGTAAATCGAAAGTTTGAGCCCAATCTGGGCAACTCTGTGAGACTCTGTGTTTCATATAATAATAATAATAATAAAAAGTTTTCCATTGGATTAACCTGACTTCACCCTGTTGCTGCTGAAGCAGAAAAGGCCATCTTATTACTCCTGCCATAAACATCTGTCTTTATCCATTCTAATGTCAGTTCCTAAAGACACAATATTTCCCTCCTCCTCTGATCTTGATTCCAACTCCTGCTGGCTCTGAATCTAAAGAACCTTACAAAGGGTTGGGATTTAGCTCAGCGGTGCTACACTTTCCTCACAAGTGCAAGGTCTTGAGTTTGATTCCTGGTACCAAAGGGGGGAAAAAAAGAACCTCAGTGTGCCAACATCTATTATGGAAAACCTGGATAAAGTATTCTCCAACTATGCCAATGGGTTTACTTCCCATGTCCGCTTTGAACCACAGTCTACAAAAGCTCCCCCTTCGAAGTCTGTCCCAGTGGTTTCGCTTCTGAACTTCTTCTTTGCAAATTACACTATCTAGCTGACTATGATCCACTTCTGTTTTTGGTTCCATATATGCCTGCCTTCCCCAGGACTCTTGTTTTCACTATGGTCGAACCTCTTTCCGGTTTGTTTGCCAATGAAGAAAGCCCTGGCCCACTAATGATCAACACTTCTTTGTAAGTTCTTCCTTCCTCCAGCCTACAGACATGTTCCTTTACAGTCAGCTCTTCCATCCTCAGCTCTCATTCTAATCCCATTAATTTCCAATGCTTTAACCATTTAGTCAGCAAAAAGTGTTGTAAGTTCTTAGGTGTTCAAGCAGCAAGAATAAGACAGACATTTTCCCAATTTTCATTCTAGTTCGCATTCCATGATTACATCTAAATCTTTTCTTAAAGCCCTGACAGCCCACTTCTCTAACCTTCAAATTTAAATAGGGATTTGCATGTATATGCTTCATAGACAGTTTAAATTCAAGTTATTTCTGTCCGCTATATACAAACAAGCTAAAACAGAACAGAAAATCATAAGAACTCCTGTTCTCCTTCATTACTAAACATCTATTTATCTACATTTTATCATTCCTTGAATATACTTTTCTTGTTTTCATTCCCATCATTCTTATCTCTTTTAGGCCCTCTTATTTCCTTCTCTACCTATACTCTTTCTTTCTCTCTCTCCAGTTTTGCCATTTTCCAATCATTCTCTACAGTTAACATCACACTGATTATTAGCCACCAAAATTTCTGCAAACAACAATCTCTTTTCCTTGACAGGTTATTTTATTTCATGACTAGACCTTTTCTTCCTTGAAAACTTGATTTCCTGTCATCTTATCTCCTCTTTATACCTCACGATTTATCACTAATGAACTATTTGAAACTTCCTAAACACAAATGAGCAACATTTAAAACCTCCTCAGGGATCACCCGAGATGCCCCTGGCATCTCTTTCTACCAAAAGACTTTCCACTGTCCCTTGCTCAGTGTACCTTCAACGTACTTTCATTACACATTTAATCCTTACATATCTGTCTAACAGACAGACTAGAAATTACTGCTGAAAATAACAGCCAACATTTAGCTCTGTGATAACCCATAGATGGTATGAAGCATCATTTCTTCATGACTGCTCTGTTATTTTTGGAGAAAATTGGAAGATTATGAATTTCAAGAACATAGTATGCTCCATTTACCTGCTTTGTAGGTTGCATTATTAGAAACAATATTAAAAGTAGGTTATTGGCCAGGGATTTAGCTCAGTGGTCTGCCACCTGCTTCACAAGCGCAAGGACCTGAGTTCAATCCCCAGTACCAAAAAAAAAAAAAAAAAAAAAAAAAAAAAAAAATTGGTTACATGAAAGTGAAAAGCTTCCAGCAGGCCCACAAAAAACTAAAGTTACTTTTTTTATTGTTAACTAGTTTAGGTAACTTCATACTTTTTAATGGGTATCATATGTAAGGTAGAAGTGAAACAAAACAACCACAGTTCATTAAGAATGCCAAAAACAGTTTGATCCCAGGTACCAAAAAATAAGAATGCAAAAACATAAAGGACAGCTCACTTTGAAATGTAAAAATTGAAAATCGAATTATTTTTATATAATTTGCTTCTAAGAAGCAAATAAATGGTTTAAAGAAAATAAATATATATTTTTTTAAATCACATAACACATATTAATGAAAATAAAGAATCAGAGCATATACCTACTTGGAGGACAGTAGTACCAGGCTCCACCATGACAGACTGACCATCAACAAATACTTCAATCAAGTTGCTTGCGGCTGTGGCAGTTGTTCGAACTGATCACCAAGACAAAGCCAAAAACAAATTAACATCACTGAATTTATCATAGCAAAGAATAATGGATTGATTAACTGAAAAATTTTTCTGCTTTTTATATTATTCTTCTATTTCTCTAGGTGAATACTTTTAAAAATACTAAATTAAAAACAAAAGCTTTTACAATCCTGTATATCAAACAGAACACTGTTATCTACTTCTAATCATAGTTCAAATTGAGACTTCTAATAACATTTTTCAAAAACAAAATGACTAATTTTTCAATTTTGGCATTGATGTGCAGTTCCTCATATAGTCCTTCTTATGATATTTAATTTCTATAAACTAAGGTGAAGGTTATTTTAAAAATTTTTCTGTAAACTTAGATTATTTATTTTTATTTAATTTAAAATAAATTAGGGCCGGGCATGGTGGCACACGCCTGTAATCCCAGCACTTGGGAGGCTGAGGCAGGAGGATCGCTGTGAGTTCGAGACCAGCCTGGGCTACATAGTGAGTTCCAGGTCAGTCTTAACTACATAGTGAGACCCTGTCTCAAAAAACAAAAATAAATAAATAAATAATACAACGAATGGGGGGGGCGGGGATGTAGCTCAGTGGCACTGTGCCTGCCTGGCAAGTGCAAAGTCCTAAATTCAATCCCTGGTACCCCAAAAAAAAACCCCACAAAAACCAAATATCAAACAAAGAAAAAACAAATTAGAGGTTTTGGGTTTTTGAAGATATTCCATAGACCTATAAATTTACAAAGGTAAGTCTAATATGAATGCAAAAAAACCAACTCACCATATCCGGTAGAAGACTTACAAAGGCCTGCTAAGGCCCTTCTAACAGGTATCCTTAACATATTGCTAAAAATGAAACAAAGAAAAGTAATATTATTGTAGAGAAAAAAAACACGAATATTTTGGTATTGTTTTATGGCTTTAAACTACATTGCAAATATTAAGTCACTATGTACTCACAAATCTTTACATTTTTTCCTCAAATACTATAAAACAGTATTATTTGACAAGCAGGTAAGGAGTAGCTAGTATACAGATTTGGGCTAGGTAAAGGACAGCTTTGTTGTTTTATAAACATAAAGAAATGATGAAACGTAAACACTACAATACAGTAAAATAAACTGCAAGAATAACTGTACTTGGCCTCACATGGTAGTGCACATCTGTCATCCCAGTACTCTGAAAGGCTCAGACAGGACGATTCCCAAGTTTGAGCTCAGCATGGGCAATTTACTGACTTATCAAGACCCTGTCTCAATAACAAAATAAAAAAAGGGATATAGCTCAGTGCCAAGGCCATAGGTTCATATCCCAAGTACTGTAAAAACAGTTTATCATTAACAGTTGTATAAAACAAAGCCTACCTTTTTGCCTGCATTTTCTATCAGGGAGTACTTGATAAGCTCAGTTATCTCCTAAAATGTTCCTAGGATTCCTGCCCCAAGCTACCTTAATAAACCAAAGCCTTTGATGTACTTCAAGGGCCACTTTCTGTGCTAAGTGATACATTTCTTTTACAGACTTTAAGCTTTAAAAGTGTGGTTTTCAAGTGGGGACAATTTTTCTCCCTAAGAATGTTTGGCAACGTTTGGCAATGTCTGAATAGACTGTGGTCATAACCAGGTAGCAGCTACTGGCATCTAATGGGTTGAGGGCAGGGTGCTGTTAAGCGTTCTACAATGCGCACGACAGCCCCCCACAATAAAGAATTGTCCAAAGTATCAACAGTGCTACTCTAAATAGTTTGCTGAATTACTGAAATAGGAATGGATTGCAAAAACATTACCACTTAAATAAAGACATACATAGGCAAACAAAAACTAGAACTTGGTTCTTTTTTTGTACACTCACTTGTTCATATAAACCTTTTTTTTTTTTGAAATAGTGTCTAGTTACGTAGTTCAGGCTGGTCTAAACTCATGGTGATCCTCCTGCTTCAGCCTATGGAGTGCTGAGATAACACACGAGTCACCACACCCAGCTAAACAATGAACATTTGATCATATGGACTAAGCATCTAAAACTGTAATTTTTCATTTGGAAATTTTAAAAGTAGTAAAATGAAAATTAGGTGGTTAAAATGCATAAACATGAAAGATTTCAACAATAAAAAAAATTCAACAGTTGTAGCAGTACTAAATGGCTGTCCTCCAACTCCCAGATCCTCCTACCTCAGCTTCCTAAGTTTTGGGATTACAGCCATCATTTCATTTACTAAACTGTATGTTAATAATTGTTCATCCTGGACTTGAACTCACTATGTAGCCCAGGCTGGCCTAGAATTCGCAGTAATACTCTTGCCTCAGCCTCCTGGGTGCTGAGATTACAGGCATGTGCAACCATGCCATGCCAATTTTAGTACCTTCTAAATGTATAAGCTCTTCTGAGGACAAGGAATTTCATCATTTACCATTTTTGAAGACCTAGCACAATGCCCTCACAAAAAGAATCCAGGAAATGGTCTTATCACCAAGTTCCAGAATGAGGGACATCTGACATAATTGCTGCTCTGCCATAAAAAAAAAAAGGCTAAACCTGAGGCATTTGTACATAAATGGATGCACCTTCAGACCACTGTAGTAAGTGAAATAAATCAGAGACACAAATTAATAATATCACCTGGTCACTCTTACATGAGAAACCCAAAATATAGATAAAGAGTAAAATGAAAGAGATCTTTTTCAAATGGGAAGGGGAACAAAAGACAGAGGGAAGAGGGCAGGCAGGAAGGGGAGAGGAAACAGGATTTAAAAAACAAAGAAAAATATGGAAATAGAGCTTTTGCAAATGGGAAGGGGAACAAAAGATAGGAGTAGGGAGGGATGGGTTGAGTAGGGGGGCGAGAGAAGATGTCATGTACATGTTATCAACTCCCCCATAACAAAAGTAATCATTATTTACTATAAATATACACTACAAAATAAAAAATAAAATGTCTACATTAGAAAAAAACCTATCGAAGGCATACACACACACACACACACACACACACACACACACACACACATTTTTCTCCCAGGACTGGGGGTGGAGCCCAAGGCCTTCATAACGAGTCTTACTCTAGTCCTTTTAAATTTTTTCAATACTAGTATGAAAAACTATAATGGTACATAAGATCCTAATGATATAATGGACAATGTGAAATAGGAAGAAAAGGGCTAAAGGTGTAAGGGAAATGGGAAAGATAGGGGAAAGGTAATAAGGGGAAAGGAAAAAAAGTAAGAAAATGAAAAAAGGGAAATAAAGTGTTTGTAAATAGGGAAGGGAGGAGGTGGTGAATTGGGACAAGGGGAAAAAATGAGAACCAAGACCTGTCATGTAAAGGTACAAGATCCCAATGATGAATGTAACTGTACTGTATACCTAAAATGTACCAATGAACTCAATGAGAAAATAAATAAATAAATAAAATTTTCAGTACTAGGAACCAAACCCAGGGTCTTTCTCTTTTTACTTTTTAAGGTGGTATCTCATTAAGTCTCTAAACTATCCAGGCTGGGCAGAATTTGCTATCGTCCTGCCATGGCCTCCCAGATTACAGGTATGCACCACAACACCTGACCTGAAGGTAAGTATTCTGATTTTTTTGGTATCAGGGATTGAACTCCAGACCTTGCGCTTACAAGGCAGGCAGCAGAACCACTGAACTAAATCCCAGCCCTGTTTGTTTTTTGAAACAGAGTCTCACTACATAATTCAAATTGGCCTTGAACTCACTATGTAGTCTAGGCTGGCCTCAACCTTGCAGGGATCCTCCTGCTTCAGCCTCCCAAGTGCTGGGATTACAAGCATGCACCACCATCCCTGTCTTCTAAAGGCATGCATTTTCTTGGTACTGGGAATGGAATCCAGGGACATTTGTCTGCCAGGCAGATGCTGTGCCAGAGCTACATTCCTGGCCCAAAAGGCATGTATTTTTTTGTTTGTTTATTTTTTGAGACAGGGTCTCACTATGTAGTTGAGACTGACCTGGAACTCACTATGTAGCCCAGACTGGTCTCCAACTCACAGCGATCCTACTGCCTCAGCCTCTCAAGTGTTGGGATTACAGGCATGCGCCACCATGCCCAACTCAAGGCATATATTTTTAAAGGACTTCTTTTGGGTGAGAGAATGCTGGGGACCTTTCCCATGCTAGGCAAGCACTCTGCTACTGAACTATATCCCAAATCCTACTGATGGCATAGAAAGTAAACTTGATGCCGCCATAGTAGCACATACCTATAATTCCAGAACTCTTGAGAGGCTGAGGCAGGAGACTTACAAATTTTAGGCTCACCTGGCTTAGTAAGGCTTTTCCTTAAAAAAAAAGGCGGGGGTGGTGTACATAAGGTGTGAAAGCCCTGGGTACAATTCCCAGTACTGCATGAGAACACATATATGCATGGACACAAAACACACACACACTGACAAACATAGTAAACCAGATTTTACTGAATCAGAGTATTAACAGATTCAAAATCAACAATCTGAGAACGTAGCTCAGTAGTACAGTGCTTGCTTAGCTTTGGCACAAGTCATTGGGCTTGATCCCTAGAACAAGGAAAAAAATGAACAATCACTACGTATTTCATACAATTTTAAGACTTTAATATATATTATCATCTCTAATACAAAAGTAGTGCTAACTTTAGATAGGAAGTCAAACAGAACTAGGCTATGTCTTGAACATCCAGTATCAAATGGAATACTGGATAGCTCCAAAGTAAGAAACACAGATTTGCAACACTTACATTTGTGCCTTAAACAAATCTGTCAGATGGAAATTAGTCACCATCAGAAGCTGAACAAGATGAACATGATGAACTAAGAGTGTGTGAATGAGGTCCGAGGATTTGGCTCAGTGGTTCCGCTGCCTGCCTGGCAAGTGCAAGGTCCCAAGTTCGATCCCCGGTACCAACAGTAAAAATAAAATAATTAAAAAAAAAAAAAGAGTATGTGAACGAGATAAATGCGAGCAAGATGAACAATGCTCGAACCAGTGCTGGGGAGAGACTAAGGCTCTGTGAAATAGCTACAGTAAGGTATGCTGACACATCACTTCATTCTTGGGTATTCAGGTTAGTGTTTGGTGTGCAATAAATTCAAGTTCTGCTGTTTGGAACTCTCCGGAATTTTTTCAATCCACAAATGACTGAATCTGGAGATATGGCAAAGAAGTATACCTGTATTAGATGGAAAATATTAATGACCAATCACTTCTAAAACTAGACTGAACAGGGCTGGGGATTTAGCTCAGTGGTTCCACTGCCTGCCTTGTAAGCACAAGGTCCCAAGTTTGATCCCTGGTACCAAAAAACCCAAACAAAAAAACCCAAAAAACTCGACTGAACATTTTTCCACATAGAAACTATAGTAGTTCATATATTTCCCATATATTCACTTCTCTACCTCCAAATTTTTACCCTATTCCAAGTCACCACCATCTTTTGCCCGGACTATTCCAACAGCCTAGCTTCCAGTTTCTACTCTACCCTTCTCTGCATGGCCTCAGACTGAAAGGATCTTTTCTTCAGATCTAAGCCTTCCAATTCTTCAAATCTTGGCTTAAATCCTTTTCTCAGGCTTTCAGCACCAGCTTATCTAAACATTTCCTAACTATTCCCTAATCATATTGATATAGAGAAAAAATATAACTCCTGGATGTCATGCTGAGCTGCTGTTTCCTGATGTTGAAGAATTCTAAGGAGAAAAGGAGGTTAAGAGTAAGAAAACTTATTGGGGAATAGGAGTAGCTCCTGAAACACAGAAGGGATCTCCAGTGGGTTGCCAAGGAGCTCACGTCTCTGAGAAAGTTTTAAAGAGCAAAGTCACAAGGTGGGTACAAAGTGGATTAAAACTATAATGGACCAGTAAGATTACAAGTATAGGTGCTTGGCTAATGTTGATCATTGACCTTGGTCAATAACCTATAATCTTAGTATTGTCTTTAGTTTTAGTAGTCTTAGTCTTAGTGGGTAGGAGAGGATGGCCCACCCCAATGAGATAATGGCTTATTTATGTGGGAAATCTCAAACTTCCACCCCTTAGAGAAGCATGCAAATCTGGCCCTTGTGACTTTAATCTACTTCACATGTGCCTGTAGCCACAGTTTTTTGTTTGTTTGTTTCTGGTGGTACCAGGGATGGAACTCGGGACCTTGCACTTGGGAAGCAAGTGGTATAACCACTGAGCTAAATCCCCAGCCCCGCCACAGTTTTGATGTGATTTCATCTATACTGACTCCCGGGAGGCCTATCCCTGTCTAATTACCTGTAATATTTCTACCTAATTTAGCGATCTATAATATTACCTATCTTATTCTTTATGGACACATTTTGATAGTACACGTTTAGTAACTATTTGCTATGTGAATTACATCTCTAATTTCTGCCTATCATTTATAGAAAGCATTTCCTGGAATCAAAAAGTGAAGGTGTTTGGGCCCTCTTATAACATTCCATTTAATGATACACACTGACACACACACACACACACACACACACACGGAAACTGTGCTCTTCCCAACAAAAGTGAAAAAAAGAAAATGGGGACTTTATGTAACAAAAACAATGTATGCTATGGTTTCCAGACTTTCTCAATTAATGGCTGAGCAGAGCCATTAATTGATCTTACAATACATGCATCTGATACCATGAATTGGTAAACAACATAGTTGTGTTAAGCGCAGTAAGATTTTGGCTAACTTTCTAAAGATCCTTTGAAATGAATAACAACTTAATGTGGTCAATGGACAAAACACAAAAGAGGCGTAGATGGTTGCAAAGGCAACAAAGACTAAGCAAGACTCACTGCTCCGGTGTATCAAATAAAATTTGGGGCAAATATTCAGTCTAGGCCTAAACTACCTGGGACACAGATTCGCTCTCGCGGACAAAACGGCTTCCTCCTGACAGGGCAATGCCTTGCATTTCCATGCAGAAGGAAGGTCGCTCTTAAACTTGCATTCGGGCAAGGACTCCCGAGAGTCTCCCGGTACTCTTCATCCTTTCTGCTCCATCTGACCAGAAACCAAAGCTAACAGCCCTCGCTTGTCTGCTCCCGGAGCTTCCCAAGGCAGCCGGATGGGTGGTGGTGCACAGTCAAGGACAAGAGGAGAATGAGTTGCCTAGCCCAAGGGCACGCTCTTGTCAAGAAATAAACCCAGGACCAAGGCTCTTTATCCTTCCTACCTAAACACAACCTCACCTTCTCCCCGGAGCAGCTGAGAGTGCTCCGTTGGCGTGTCCAGACCCCACGGAACCCTCAGAGTCCGGGTCGCTTATTCAATATGGCGACCCCCGGTAATTCTGTCAGCCGGGCTAGGAGAACGGAAAGCCAAGAGGGACTAGAATCCCCAGATTCGACAATTTCCGGATTAGTTTTACTTCGGCAATTTCCGTCAGCCTGACAGAGGGTGAGGAAGAGCGGGAGGATTTCTTGGACCTGCAGTTCCGCCGGAAATTGCCGGGGCAGCTAAGCGGCGCTGCTTGGTTCATCTCCGGCGCTTGAGAGGACGTTCCCATAGTTTTCGTGAGCCGTAGAGGTACAAATTTAAGAAGTTCCCCTCCCTTTTATTAATTTGTTTCCAAAAACACAGAAAGGTCTGCGGACAATTGGTGGGCCATTTAATTCAGGACTCGCAGTGTTTACTGGAGGAATGACAATAGGAGCGTACTGTGACCTTTAACCTCCGGCTGGACGCCGTGGAGGGGAAACGCCTCCGTCTCTATATAAGGCGTTTTCCGGTCGGCCGGGCCCCTTTTTTTCTCTCGGCGCTAGGCGCTGACCTTTGGCTCTCTCAGGTCCGCTGCTGCACAGCTACCGCAGTCAGCCGAGACCATGGGTTTTGGAGATCTGAAAAGCCCCGCGGGCCTCCAGGTGCTCAACGATTACCTGGCGGACAAGAGCTACATCGAGGGGTGAGCGGATGGGCGGCTGGCGAGTCTCGGCCGGGCCACGTGGCGGGATGGCGCGCGAGGGAGGAGAGGAGGCCGGCCCTGGAGGAACTGCTCATGGAGAAATTAAAATATGCTTTATTCTTCGATTCAGCCAAGTTCTCCGTGTTGACCTGTAGCTAGCAATGCCCTGTAGAGCGCAGTGTCGGAGACCTCTCCTGAGTGGTAGACGTTTTGTGTAGTGGGGCGACCCTGACAGATGGTCTACGATCTTAAGCAGCTGTTAATTTAAGGAAACAGATAAACCAGTTTTGTAGATGGTAATGGATAGGTTTGAATTCCATGAGTTACTTTGGCGGGTATAGTGTTTGCCACTTACTGTTTTCAAGGTGTACTTACTTTTTTGTCTTTTGGCAGGTATGTGCCCTCACAAGCAGATGTGGCAGTATTTGAAGCAGTCTCCTGCCCACCACCTGCCAACTTGTGTCATGCCCTACGTTGGTACAATCACATCAAGTCTTATGAAAAGGAAAAGGCCAGGTAAAGGTATCTTTCTTTGCATCTAATTGAAGGACAAAACTGCTTTTCTAAACTTATGCAGGATTTTCACATGACGAAATTGGACCCAGGCTACCCTAGCTTTGTTTGAGGTGTATTGTAAGCTAATTTCTTTGTGACCTTAGAAGGCCAAGAGACTGAAGTCCTCCATTCTTTTCACAGAACAGGTAGAACATGGACAACAGCAATTCAACTTTTCCCCACACTGTCCTGCCAATGTGCTTCAATCCTGACCTGGGGGGGCCAGCGCTGGGGCAAGAGGGTGGCTCATTCATTCTGTCCTGGGCCATTCTGAAACTGCCAACAAGGGTGGAAGTTTGGGGAAGTGGACTCCTGTTCACTAAGAATGGAACTGAGCATACTTAATGAGATCTCAAATGTTCATACTGAAAAAGTAAATCATAGTGAGTATTGAATGAAACATCTCACATGTACTAATGTTTGCTGGGTGAGGAGTATTTACTGGGAGTGTGGTGAGGGGTAATTATTATAGAAGGGATCTAATGATAAAGAGTGATAAAAACAAGTTCTTGTACTTTCTTGGAAAAGACATTATAGCAAATTAAGAGTGGTTTAATTTAAATTTTTTTCAAGCCTGCCAGGAATGAAGAAAGGTTTAGGCAAGTATGGCCCTGCCAATGTGGAAGACACCACCGGAAGTGGACCTGCCGAGAATAAAGATGATGATGATGATGATATTGATCTCTTTGGGTCTGATGATGAAGAGGTATGCCATCTCTTTATGTCAGGGTAAATTGGGTAGGAAGTGTATCTGCATATGCACAGTATAGCCAGTTTTCCTGGGTTTGAATCCTGACTTCACTGTAATCTGACTTTACAGAACTCTCACTGGTTACATGATGAATAAAATCAAATCACCATCTTTCGGCTGAGCTCCTGATGGATTTGCTTTTTTCTGATAAAGCTGGTGTTTTTGATGATCACACTACCATCTTTAAGCAGAGGAACAACAGCTTTATGAAATATTACAATTTTTCTTTACAGGAAAGTGAAGAAGCAAAGAGGCTAAGAGAAGAACGACTTGCACAGTATGAGTCTAAGAAAGCCAAAAGTAGGTCATTTAATATAAGTAGTGTTTATCTTCATTCCAACAATGTGAAGAACCTTTTAGGAACTTTGACGGCAACGTAATTTCTTCCATGTTTGTTGAGTGGGTCAGTGATTTGTTTATTTAGTACCAGGAATTGAACTCAGGCCCTTGTGCTGTGAGGCAGGTGGCAGAACCACTGAGCCAAATCCCTGTCCCTTGTGTTTAAAAACTTACCATAGCAGTTCTTCCTGTTAAAACTTCCACAGCTACTGGTCTGCAGCTGTTATTAATCATAGCAGTTGTGGCATTCCACTGTGGGAAAGAAATTGTCACAACTAAATACCTCTTTCTTAGCCAAAAAGAAAGTGGGCATGTGTGTGACAGACACAAGACATATTCTGTTTTGTTTGAATAAGGTGTTCCATTTCAAAACACAAATTTGGGTTTTTATTTTTGTCTTTGTAGTACTGGGAACTGAATCCAGGGCCTTTGCATTTAGCTGCACCTCCAGCCCTTTTTCAATTTTTATTTTCAGACAGGATCTTAAGTAGCTAAATTGCCCTGGCTGGGCTCAAACTTGTAGTCATACTGCTTCAGTCTCCCAGAGTGCTGGGATTTGCAGTCATGGGCCTCCATGCCCAGCTGAGTATTGTACTTGGGTTAAAAAAAAAAAAAAAAAAAGATATAATTGTACTTAATGCTGTTCCTTATTTTCTAGAACCTGCACTTGTTGCCAAGTCTTCCATCTTGCTAGATGTGAAACCTTGGGATGATGAGACAGATATGGTAAAATTAGAGGAGTGTGTCCGCAGTATTCAAGCAGATGGCTTGGTCTGGGGTTCCTGTGAGTTTAGTTTTTACATTTTGTCGTTGATGCCTGAAATTTGTGTACGTTTTAACTGACATCAATAAGGCATTTCTAACGAGATTTTTCTTACTTTTTTTTTAAAGCTAAACTAGTTCCAGTGGGATATGGAATTAAAAAACTGCAAATACAGTGTGTAGTTGAAGATGATAAAGTTGGAACAGATATGTTGGAGGAGCAGATCACTGCCTTTGAGGACTATGTGCAGTCCATGGATGTTGCTGCTTTTAACAAGATCTAAGATTCTTCCTGGATCATTGCTCTTCAATAAAAGCTTGAAGGACAGCCCTAGGCTCTTGAATCTGTTAAATAAGGGGTGAATCATAGTGCCATCTGTACTCATTAATTAGGTCTTCAGTGATGTATGATGCTGGTGATAAAATTAACAAGTCTCACTTGAAAATAATAAGGGTGAGAAGGTACAGGGTATGCAATAGTGCCAGAGCACATCTAGCCCAGGAGGGAGGGAAGACTTGCCAAAATTTGTCATAGATAATAATCACTTATACACATATTGTAAATTTGTAACTCATCACACTGTAAAATTGGAACCTGTTGATTACTGGGCTCAAACTTGTAGTCATCCTGCATATGTCTCCCAGAGTGTTGGGGTTTGCAGTCATGGGCCTCCGTGCCTGGCTGAGTATTGGACTTGGGTAAAAAAAAAATAATAATTATACTTAATGCTGTATCTTATTTTCTACAGCCTGCACTTGTTCTGGAATTAAAATCAGGAATGTTCTGGAGTTTAAATTAGGTCTTTAGAGGAACACTGTAGCTGAGTGATTCCCAGACCAGTTTGTCCTTGTAAAGGTTCCTAAGGTACATGGTAGGCTATTTCACTTGGGTTCAGGAATGAACTGAACCTAGTAATACAAGTAGATACTGTGATAGGACAAGTTGAGTGCTAGCTATGTGCTGGAAACAGCCTTCCCATCCCTGGGATGCTGGACTTTGTTAGCACTTGGGATTCAACCCAGTACCTTTGCACTAAACATTTGAAGTAGTGGTAGATAGGTTCTCACTAAATTCCCCAAGCCAGGCTTGAGTTTGTCATCCTCTAGCCTCCCAGAATCTAGGATTACAGGCATGTCCCAGTACCACCTGCTTTTACTATGCCCACCCCCCAAGGATTGAACCTGAGGCCTTTGCATGAGCTGAGTTTTGTGTCATCCCCCCTTCGTTATTAGAGATCAAACTCACTACCTTGTACTTGCAAGGCAGGCAGTGGCACCACTGAGCTAAGTCCACAGCCCTCTTGTAGTTTTTGTTGAACCCCAGGCCTTAACATTGAGCTACATTCACAACTGTCTTTTTAAATTTTGTTTTATCCCATTCCCCTCCCTCAAACTCTGCCCTCCCTATGTACAAAACCTTTATTTCCATTTTTTCCTTCTATTTTCACTTTTTTTCTTGTCCCTTTCTCCCTATCTGCTCCTTTCTTTTCCCCTTCCCATTTGAACATTTTCTTCCCATTTCCGAGTACCTATTATACATTTTAGTCTGTATTTCCACTTTCAGTTTCTCACACCAGAGGAACAATGCAGTATTTAAACGTGTGTGTTCAATTTATTTCACTTAAGAGTATGGTCTCAAGGTCCATCCCTTTAGCTATAAATGACCAAGCTCATCCTTTATGACACAGTCAAACTCCATTGTATATATATAAAAAAAGTCTTTATCCACTTGTCAATAGATGGGCATTTGTGCTGTTTCAAAGATTTACCTCTTAGCTGCTGCTATAAACATGGGTGTGCTTATATCACTGTGGTATAGTGCTTTTAATTCTTTTGGGAAGACACCAAGAAGAGTATAGCTGGGTCAAATGCAATCTCTAGTTTTAAGCTTTTGAAAAATCTCCATATTGATTTCCACAATGGCTGCACTAGTCCACACTCCCACCAACAGTGGAGAAGGGTTCCTTTCTTCCCACAGCCCCTCCAGCATTTGTTACTGATTGATTTCTTGATAGCAGACATTCTGGATTTTTTTTTTTTTAATGGGAACCAAAGAAATGAGATTATTTGGTTTAGATCTTTATTTTTTGTTATGCTGGGGATTGAACCCAGATAAACAGCAACATTACCAGCCCCAGCCCCCCCCCACCTCCCAGTACCGGGGATTAAACTCAGGATCTTGTGTTTGCCAGTCAAGCAGTGGAACCACTGAGCTAAATCCCCAGCCCTCCCCATTTGTGTGTGTGTGTGTGTGTGTGTGTGTGTTTTCAGGCAAGATCTTGCTATGTAGTGTAGTCTGACCTTGAAGTCATGGCTATCGTCCTACTCCAGCCTTCTGAGTGCTGCATTTACCATACCAAACCTCTCAATCCTTTTTAAATTTTTGTTTTGAGGTAAGGTCTCATTGAATCGCTCAGGATGGCCTTGTACTGATCCTTCTGCCTCAGTCTCAGAAACTGATTATGAATTAATACTGATATCACAGACCTGTGCCACCAAAACCAATTTAGGCCAGTTATTTTGTTTGTTTTTGTTTTTGTTTTTGATACCAGGGTTGGAACTCTGGACCTTGTGCTTGCAAGGCAGGCGGTGGAAGCATTGAGCTAAATCCCCGGCCTGAGGCCAGTTTTTTCATACAACTAGTTAGTGCCTTTTAAATCTGATTTTATGTTGTTACTACCTTGAGTACAGATGATTTATTAGTAAAGAGTTAATCAGATACAGATAGCTATTTTTTAATTTACTAAGCAATACAGTCCAACAACAGATCCAGTTTAAAATGGAGATCAGGTTGTCAGCATCATGGATGCCAGCAGAGGGCAGCATTTCACTTCCTGGAAAGCAACTTGGGGATTCTGGTAATGCCGAAGTACATACAGTATTGTGAAAGAATCTCTGACCTAAGCGTATATATTGATTTTTATACTGGTATTCTTGTAAATACAGAAACAGAAAGCAGAAATTACACCATCTATACAGTCTCTGAAATCGTTCTGAGATTGGGGTATTGTACCCACCATTGGTATAGCTGTGGTGTGTGTGTGTGTGTGTGTGTGTGTGTGTGTGTGTGTGTGTGTGTGTGTTTTGAGATGGTCTCTCTGTGTAGCCCAGACTGCCCTTGAACTCACTATGTATCCCAGGCTGGCCTCCAATTTGGAGACTCTGGAGTGCTGGTATTACAGTTATACACCACCACACCTAAGGACTAGGAATTTCTACCATGGCGGTGTCTTGGAGCACTAAGAAGTGTAGCCACTCTGAGCCCTGAGAGAAATGAAATCAGAATGGTGGAATAGCTTTGTGACAGGGGAAGGAGAAGATTGAAGCCACTCAACCAGCCCCAGCTGTTACAAACCTCAGCTGCCTTCACCACCATAGTGGTCCACACGTGACAAAGCAGAGGCCACCTGCCTTCTGCACCTTGTTTGAATTGCTTTTTCTTTTCTTTTCTTTTTTTTTTTTTTTTTTTTTTTTTTGTCTTTTTTGAGACAAAGTCTTGCTGTGTAGTTCAGGCTCGCCTTGAACTCACTATGTACTTCAGGCTGGCCTTACTCAAGGTGAACTTCTTGCCTCAGTCTTTCAGGTGCTGGGATTACAGTGTATACCATCACTCCCAGCTTTGTTTACACCCCCCCTCCTTGTACCTGGACTCAAACTCAGGAACTTACACTGGTATGGTACCACTGAGCTACATCCCTGGCCCTTGTTTACATTTCTGACTCAGAATTGTGAGATATGATAATAGCAAATTATTTTAAGAGCTAATTTTTCAGACAGTTTATTAAGCATCAATAGTTAACTGAACAACTAATTAATGTGTACACACTGATTACATAAAATGAAGTATATATACATATATATATATATATTTTTTTAGACTATATCACTATATAGTCCTAGCTAGCTTTTTTTTAATCTTTATTAAGCTTATTGGTACATTTTAGGTATACAATAGTTACATTCATCATGGCATGATGTTAGTTCTATTTTTCCCCATTCCCCAGCCCTCCCTTCGCCTCCTCCACCTTCCCTTTTACAAAGACAGTGTTTCCATGTTTTTCCTTTTCACATATTTTTTCTTTTTCCTTTTTACCTTTCCTGTACCCCTCCCACTTCCTCTACTCTATTTTAGACCTTTTCTTCCTATTATACAATATCAATTATACATTTTGATCCTTATTTTTACTTTGTTTCTCACACCAGAGAAACTATATGGTATTTAAAATGTGACTTATTAATTTCACTTAAGAGTATGGCCTCAGTGTGCATCCACTTAGCTATAAATGTCTAGTTCCTTGTTCTTTTTTTTTTTTAGTTCCTTGTTCTTTATGGCTGAGCAGTACTCTGTTTTATAAAGAAGATGTGGGTTGGGTGTGTATATATATATATATATACA